CCAAAACTTCTGTCACACATTGATTAATCCAAAAGAAAAAAAGGGCTCAAAGTCTCGGTCTCAACATTTATCGCAAAAAATCTAAATTGTGATACGTGTTTCGCTCATACGAGCATCATCAGACAAAAATACAATTAAAGATAGTTGAGTATTTTTTCTTCTTTTAGATTTATAAACTAGGTCTCATGGACGCCTTTTTAGGGTTCCGTACCCAAATGGTAAAAACGGGAACCCTATTACTAAGACTTCGCTGTCCGTCCGTCCGTCCGTTACAAAGATCTATCTTATGAACCGTTATAGCTAGACGGTTGAAATTTTTACAGATAATCCATCTATGTTGCGGCTATAAGAACAAATACTAAAAACAGAATTAAATAAATGTTTATAAATAAAAAGGTACTTTCACTAAACATTATCTTTTAAGTAAGAATTTTACATAGAGTCTTTCAAGTCCACGGTCGCCGCGTGGTTAAAGCGTTAGGACTTTACGCTGCTATGACGTTGGAGCCGTAGTAAGGCAGGTTCGAATACTAGTCAAGACGACTTTTATTTAATCTTTTTTTTTAATTTTTACATATTTATTTTTAGTTTTTACATATTTATTATTGATTAATACAATATTAGTAATGTGTTTTCCATTTTTTTTTTAAATTACTTATACGCGCATTCAAAAAAAAGTTTATAATAATATAGTGTCTAATGTTGTATAGATAATGACTGGTACGGAACTCTTCGTGCGCGAGTCCGACTCGCACTTGACCAATTTTTTAAATTACACATTAACTAACACAAAGAAAACCAATAATAAATAATCTTTCTATACCAGGTGCGTCTCAAAAGTGGCTCACCCCTATAACTTTTTATTTTTTCAGATAAAACATCGAGATTTGGTATGTTAGTATATGACATAAATTAGGATTGATTCCCATATTCAATTATTGCTTTCGGTCACTTCCGGTTTCACCGGAAATGACTACAACTTTTCATTTTTAAATGGCACCCCCGGTATTTTGTTACTTTATTCGATAGAAAATGACACTCTGAATAGAATGACATCATGTGTCAACTTCTGACATTTTCGCACAGAGTTTATTTGAAATTGTAACATGCGGTTCATAACGACAATTTGACTCAAAATACCAAGTGTGTGGTGTCAAATTATTCGTAAAAAATGGTTTTTCCAAATTTGTTACTGAGCCACCCTCATTCCATTTGAAAAAAATGAGATATGCTTAAAAATACGATTTGGACATCTTTTAACCGGTCAGGACAAGACACTAAAAACATTAGACGATCAAGTCTATTTTTCCAAGGCTCCTTGATTAAAAATTAATGTTTTTAACACAGCCATATAAATATGATCCACTTGAAGACACCCGTGTAGGAGCGCATCGAACAATGCTTCCAACGTTGGAAGCTCCTTTGACGCGGATGAAATTTACCGACGAAACCCGAACTTGGCATACTCCCAACATTGGACATATGGATTTCACCTCTGCTCTATCACACGATATGGCAGATGTCCGTGTGTCCAACGTTGGAAGGTTTTTGCCACATCGCAAAGTGTGGGACAGGCTTTATGAATTAGGCGCCCCCTAATTTTGCCGCATAATCATGGCAGCTGGTCGAGGCTAATACAACTCCCCGAAATGGAGTATTATTTGTTTTAAAATTTCTCCTAATTAATGTAATATTCAAAACCAACAAAGTAAATATTCAAAAACCAACAAGTAGAATATCTGATATTCTCTAAAAATATATTGTCATAGTTGTGATATAGAAATGTGAAACACATTGTAAGTATTACAAATCATATTTTGATCTAGAAAAAACCGGCGTCCAGATGGCGTGAATAGATGACGGTTGAAATAGATGACGGCTCATTAGATGATCTTCATTTCAAGTCATCTCTGACTTCATTTTTTTTCGATTGCATAGTGTAAGAACACATTTGATGGCATCTATGATCTAAGTTGAAACTAAACATTTTTACTTCAAATTTGATCAATGTGTTATCAATTCATCACCTATCTAAATAGTGAAACATTTAAGAAAATATTTTTTTCTTGTATTATTTTGAATGATAGGTAATGTTTAAATATATTACTAACTTAATACAAGTGTAGGTTCATAAACTTCATAAAATAATTTTGTAAATAAACCATTAATAAAATAATTAGTCACTATTACAGTATACGAGTATACTAAGGAAAATTTAGAAGAGTAATTTAGCTATTTAAAAGATTTCATAGCAATTGAGCAGGACCGTATTTATGTAATGTTGTCTTAAAAACCTGAATAGCCATATTATTAAATAATTATTATGTTGATATTTAGATTTTGTAATAAACCTAATGGTTAAATTAATATCATAGTTTTATCAGTTATTTATGAGGAGGTTATCAGTTTGATATTATTAACGTAAGCAATAATTCGGGGCGTTTTAGTTCGTTTGTGAATAATAATAATGATGTAAATCATTATATGCACATATCTATTGTATTTGTATGTGTATATATTGCCATAAAAATACATTTAAAAATTAAGGTCAAATAACCGAACTAATGTTATTATTCTATTTTAGAAGCGATATAATAAAGACTATTAACTCTTTCATTTCAAATAGATTTATAAACAAAACAAGGATAGAAATAACATCGAAATAAAAAAATAACATCACCGAACTGAACTATCCGAATATATGTTAAGACTTGGTAGATATGTTAATTTACTTTTCTACAAGGTAGAATGTAGAATGAGTGTAAGGGGGGTTAATCACCGTGACCTTAAAGATCTGTTATGACCATTTTTGAGTTATAACTCATACAGTCTATAACTCATCATACATGGGGATTTTCCTGTTGTAGGGGGGGGGGGCAGAGTATTTCCCATACTCCTCTGACTACAGATGTTCTTTCTCCGAGGAGTATCCTCCGTGCCTTTCACAGTCGAGGAGTTTGTCTCCAGCTAGGTACCTGTAACGTGGAGTCTGGAGATATATATCCATTTTCTCCACCTGTTTAACATAGTCTCTCCTTACGACCTAACACCGGTGTTGTCCCGAACCTATAATAGAAGATATACCTCCTGTCTCTATTGTCTTCTTGGACTTAAGGTCAATTCCTATTGTGAGGACCCAACCATGGCTCTCTTCCCCTCAAGTTGATGATTCGCCAACTCGATGCATTTACATGCCTCCCGTTGTTTCACGGCTTTCCATGCTAGCTTTTTCTCTCCTTGCCGGAGCAGAGCGTGAGGATGTTTCTTGATTCCTTTACTCTCCCCTTTTTTCGAGGGGTGTTTTGGCTTTTCCTTCCTCTGGAGCAAATTATTAGTGGAGCAGTCAGAGGTATCTCTGTACCCCTGCTCCGCTGAGACCTACTCTCAGCGGGTCCCGCCTGGTTAACTGAGGAGAGAAAAACGGTAGATGAAACAGTAGCTTGTGAGCCTCTTTAGGTAGGGTCCCGACCATTACTAGTGGAGGTGGTACTTTGTGTGCCACCTATGTGTGCCACCTACCATTTTTTACAAAAAAAATTATGATCAGTTTTAATAAGAGTGCCCAAATTTATTATTTCAGTCAAATAACTATCTATATCTATTCAACACGTTTATTTTTTGTCAATAATAATGATATGTATTGACTATTTCCATTCTAAATATCTTGAGAACGGTTGCTCCTAGCGATTTTTACCAAGAGACATTTTTTACGTAAAATGTCACGGAAATATACATTTTTTACTCGGTAGTTTTCTACAGGTACGGACGAGAAAAGTTATTGCTCTTCAAAACAATTAAAACACAATACATGAAGGTGGCACCCCCTAAAAATAGAAGTCATCAAAATCAAATTTCTCATGCCAAAAAGTCCCTGACACCAATATTCGGAAAAACTCGACCCTGCATCTCCGACACTAAGAATTTTAGGACATACATTTATACGAACTTTTTACTTATTTTTATCTGAAAAATATACTGCCGAAGTTTCCGGAATACGGTTCGGACCACCCTGTATATCTAACTGGTCCCTACAAAATGTATAAACTCTGCAGGGCAATAAAATGCTGAATCCTAAGATATATGCCTAGTAAAAATATACATACAGGGAAAGAACCTGACAACTGACAACCACCACATATCCAAGACTCTCCTGTAAAAATGGCGCTTATCATGATTTTCCCTGGACTCTTCAATTTCAATTGTCGTTTTTTGTTTTCATTTCCATAACAGTCTCAGTGTCATCAAAATTAGTATCTTTTCCTCCCAGTCATTATTATTTTTTACTACTTTTAAAATGTAAAATTATGTATAAATTGGAAAGAGAATAACCCACTTTCTGATTCTAATAAAGTATATACTTACTACTACAGTATGATGGAAAAAAGAACGGCGCCCAGTTGGCTTGGGAACGACGATCGTTGATATTCCCCATATAATTTTACATATAAAATGACAGGGATCTTCATTTCATAGCCATCGCTGACGCCGTTTATTTCGATCATACTGTTGCGAGCCGGTGTGGACTCGACCTAACCTCACAATATGGCCCGCCCTCGGATGACCTTAACATCGCATAGACACCACAATGATTCATTCGTTCGAGAAGAATCGAGACCCACTAGAATGGACTAGTACATACGAGAACATTCGAAAACCTTCTCTATGCGCCTAACGATCTTTGGACTATTCTAGATTTCTTTTACCTGTCGGTATAAAAGCCGGCGGCAGTGGCCTAGAGAGGGCAGTTATAAATATACAAGTGCAGTTGACGCGCTAAAATTCAAAATAAATTCTTAGTTATAAATCGTTTGTAAATAGTTCTATAAGTCTTTTATCGTTATTGTTTTTGTTAATTAGTGTTAAATAAATAGTGTTTAAATAAATTGTGACTTTCTATCCACACGGAACCGACGAAAAACGTAACAATACGATACTTATGCGATAATTATATCGTAGGGAAAAATAAATAGTCTGATAAATTCCGAAGTCCGGACCTGCAAGACGCGTTTCTCTCACGGTCGTATATATTGAGAGACGCACGTTATTTCATATACGGATGTTTAGTAGAAGTTGCGTTGTGAACATGGCCAGCAAAGTCCCTAAAATCAAATTCAATAACGGACAGGAATTTCCTGTTTTCGGTTTAGGAACCTGGAAGGTAAGTTTTCAATAGTCTTTTGTACGGTGTATTTGTCTTTATAGATCAAACAAAAATCAGGTTGGATGTGCGCACGTGTGTTTGTTTTCGATATTAAATAACATCAGAATATAGTGTCACATTTTATTTATTTTTCAAATAAAGGTTTTCTTTAAAGAGTACACGCGTTAAACTAAATATTGGATAGTATTATTTTTTGTTCTAGAATTAACAACGAGATAGTTTATAAAATTATTGTCTAAAAGTTTTACCTAAAATGTAATTAATATTCAGGCATTCATTGTATTGGAATTATAGCCTCCGATCATAGATGTCCTTGATTTTGAAAGCCTTTGTTTTAATTTCTATTAAGCCATTAAGATAAAATATACAGTTAATATTAAATCTACAATAGCAAAAATTTTAAATCATTTAGCAATAAATATATAATCCGAGTTTCCCCATTATTTATATACTATAAGTTATAATGGTAAATTGTTTTATAAAATAAAAACAAATGATACAAGGCGAGTCTTAAATAAGTATAAATATTCTCAGAGCTTACATCTCGATAATTCTAATGCACGCTCAGCCTGGGACATCCTGTATACAGGGTGAGATTTAAGTGACAATATTTTCAGGGCTGGTAGATCTGCATAAAAAAAGAAACATATTTTTTCTTTATCGTTTTTCAAATAAGTACAAAATAACCAAGATATTTTACTTTGAATATTTAACAAGAAATTGATTTTTCGCTTACATTTTGAGAACCGCTAAATCTTTTCCCGGTTTTCTTTTTTTTTGAATTTAATCTACCACCTAAGTATGTTGTCATATAAAGAAAATATTATTTTTTTAATTAAAAATTTAAAAACTCCTATAATTTTTTCAAAAAATCCAAATTCATAAAAAAATCGTAAAAAACTTCATAGACGTGTTTCTGGGGTCCAAATATACCACCCCTAAAATATTTGTGCTTATTTTCCCACCCTGTATAATTACGCCAAATAGAATAGATACATAATAATTAATTAAAAACATAATATTATATTTTTATATTATATTAGGTATATTCTTGTTAATTTTTTAATTTTTCCTGTTTAACTAATATACAGGGTTGTTCACCACATACGACACGGAGTATTGTAGCTTAACGATTAGATTTTTACAAATTGTAAGTTTTGAGCTTGTTGAAGGACTATTAGAGCTACAATTTAAAAATAGTTTTACAAGATACAGAGTGTTCCAAATAAGCAAAAAATATTATAGTTGTATTTTTTTAAATGGAACACCCTATATATTATTCTGTTTTTTGATTCTAGGATTGAAATAAAAATAAATTTGATTAAGGTTTATCACACTTAAACCTTACTGTTTTTGAAATATTTTCAGTTTTATGAAATTGCAGTAAAAATTTTAAGGCTTCATTTCTCCAAGGGTATGAAAGTTTTTAATATTAAATATTTACTGAAGATTATTTATTGGTCAGATATTGTGTTGCAATAATAAAAATTTTACTACCTTATAGAGAGTGTCCAAAAATTTATATTAAATAATTACCAGCTTTAAACGGCAATAACTTGTTTAATTTAAATGGAACACCCTGTATATTTTACGTGAATCATATGCACAATTTAATTGACTATCAAATTTTATTACACCATTTTTACCTGTCTCTTCAAGTTTTCGTAGAAAATGCATTTTCTTATAAATTACACCTCATTTATCACTATACCTATGGAATATTGACATTTCAAATTTTTTAAAGCAACATATATGTATAGGTAGTAAATATTGCAAGCCCATTGGTAAACAAAAAAACTATTTAAATCTTTGTAGAAGAGTATACCAATTAAATATACCACCATTATTTCCGACCAAAAATTAGTTAATTACGTAATTTAAATTGTTTTAATTATTAAAGTATTCTATCTAAATAAATGTGGATTTGGCTCAGAAATCAATATAATAATAAGTTATGCAAATGAACGTCTCTATTTTTATAAATAAGCATTTCTCAAAAAATGAAATAAATTTTATAAGAAGTTACTTTTTACAAAACTGTCTAATACAGACACAAAATTCAGTTTTTTAGTATTTGGAACAATTATTCTTAATCAACATAAACAGACAATTAATGTAGTTTGAATACTGGGATCATGTTAATTGGTCCTCTTTAAGAAAAATATTTAAACATTTTTTTTTAATGAAATAAGCGAACTATATCGCCAATATTAATATATGTACTCTTTGAAAATTTGTTACGTCTTTAAAAATAATCTAAAATGTCATTATTCCATTGGTATAGTGATAAATGAGGTCTAAATTATAAGAAAATGCATTTTCTACGAAAACTTGAAGAGATGGGAAAAAAATGGTATAATAAAATTTGATAGTCAATTAAATTGTGCATTTGATTCACGTAAAATATATAGGGTATTCCATTTAAATTAAACAAGTTATTGGCGTTTAAAGCTAGTAATTATTTAATAAAAAATTTTGGACAGGTAGTAAAATTTTTATTATTGCAACAATATTTGATCAATAAATAATTTTCAGTAAATATTGAGTATTAAAAACTTTGATACCTTTGGAAAAATGAAGCCTTAAAATTTTTACTGCTATTTCATAAAATTGAAAATATTTCAAAAACGGTCAGATTTAAGTGTGGTAAACCTTTATCAAATCTACCTTTATTTCAATCGTAGAATCCAAAAATAGAATAATATACAAGGTGTTCCATTTAAAAAAATATAACTATAATATATTTTACTTATTTGGGACACTCTGTATCTTGTATAAAGTATTTTTAAATTGTAGCTATAATAGTTCTTCAACGAACCCAAAACTTACAATTTGTAAAAATCTAATCGTTTAGCTACAATACTCCGTGTCGTATGTGGTGAACAACCCTGTATACAGGCTGACACGGAATTTTTGAAAAGGAGCTCTTATTTGAGATTTTTTGGGGGAAATGGTAGCGCACATTCTTTTAAAATATTTTTAAGTTATTCTTAAACCCAGTTATAGATATTTTTTAAGTGGAATATTATATGTTTATTTCGCTCAATGGATTAGTCTTAATTCAAAAATGCTATATAAAGGCTGTGCCTGAAATAAGTGTAAGTATATTCTGGTCTGGCAAATCTCGATAAAAGAAACATATTTTCTCTGTACGATTTTTGAAATAAATTTTTGCCCATATTTTGAAAACCACTGGTTTTCTTTTTAGCAAATTTAATCTCTTACCTATGTTGCCATAACATAAAAAAAATATGTTATTTACCTAAAAATTTTTAAAAATTCTTTTATTTATCATTAATTTTTTTCCAAAGATACCAAATCTTCTAAAAAAAATTCGCAAAAAAATCATTCATAGACGTGTTTCTGTGGTCGAATTATACCACACCTAAAATATTTGCACTTTAACACTCACCCTGTATATATGTAATAATCTGTATATCCATCGGTTTTTAGAATGTAACCACCAATTCTTGAGTACTTTTAAACGGCATTCAGAATTATAAAGTAACAAATTATTTATATATTTTTTTAATTAGAAATATTTTCTAATACTTTACAAAGTGTATTAAAATACTCTAGTTGAATGTATAGTAGGAGTCAAAACTAGGATGTATATTTCTAAATTGCAAAGATAAAATTTTATATTTTCAAAAGTTATTTTCAAAAAATTGAAAATTTATTATTTAATAAATGTCAATTTTTGGATAATGGTATACCGGATGCGTCTCAAAAATGACTCACCTCTATAACTTTTTTATTTTTTTCAGATAAAAAACGAGATTAGGTATATTAGTATATGACTGACCTATTCAATTGTTTTTGGTCACTTCCTATTTCACCGGAAATGGCTACAATTTTTTATTTTTAAATGGCACGCTCGATATATTTTTACTTTATTCGAAAGAAAATGACACTCTGAATATAATGACATAGCATTTCTCAAACTTTTGATATTTTCGCTTATTGTTCATTTGAAATTGTGTAACATGCAGTTTATAACGACAATTTGACTCAAAATGCCAAGTGTGTGGTACCAAATTATTCGTAAAAAACTGCTTTTTTCAAATAAGCCAATGAGCCACCCTCGTTCCATTTGAAAAAATTGAGATATGATTAAAATACGATTTGGGCATGTTTTAACCGGCCAAGACAATATACGAAAAACATTAGATTATTATCAAATCTATTTTTCCAAGGCTATATATAATATATCGGAGAAAAAAATTAAATCTCGTTTTGGACCTTTTTTGATTGAGTAGGTTTTCTTTAGTAGAAATACTTTTTTTTAATTCTGAAAGAGTTTTTAAATTACTAGAACATTAAGTCTAGTGATTTTTCAAAACCTACACGGTATGGCCTACATGAGGTTATTTTTGGACCGGAAATTTTTCGAAGACTCCGCCAAGCAAAAAAATCACAGCATTAAATTTGACAAAATTGGTGCAAAAATATCAAATATGTAGCTTTTTCAGAACATTGGGTCTCCTTGTATCTACAATTCAAAATTAAAATTACTTAAAACAAATTTAACAAAGACAATAAAGTAATGAAAAAAAAACTAAAAAATAATAATAAATACTTTGCTCAAAATAGAATATCAATTTTAACCGCAAAATCATTGCAATCAATATTAAGGAAACTAGTTTAAAAAAAATACTAGGACGGTCTTAAATACTTTAAATTTTAAAAATATATGAATAATGTTATTTTCAACAAGATACTTAATTTATAAAAATATATGTTTTTCATTTTTCAAAAATAACAAATATCTGTTAATTTATGGGCCCTCTGTACGACACGTTTGTTTAATCTTCTTAAAAAAGTTAATATGCAAATAAATTTGAAGAAATTTTTTTACTTAATTTATGGTAGGCCGAATAGTATCATAATTTAGTTCTTATAATTACACTACTTAATATCGCACGATCGAAAAAAGACTGCGTCAAAGGCGGCTGGAGAATGACAATCGATGATAATTTTGAACCACCTGGGGAAGAACCACCGATAAACAATCGATGAATTTTTGCGAGGTCAATCTCCAGATGTCATTTACTAAAAATTTACAAATTGATATAAAATTTGTCAAAATTAACACTAATTATAGAACATTTTAAAAATGATAGAGCGTTTCAAGACACACAACACAAATCAATTTCCAGAAAAATATTATTTCTCTAATTTTAGAATTTCCGTAATACCTAATCAGTTTTGTTTTTTCAACGTTTTTCCACGTAAATGATACATAATTGGAATAATATGATATGATACATAATCGGAATAAATCATGTTGATTTCATATTTAAAAACTATTTTTATTAGCTGAAGGTTAAAAAAATATGGAGAAAAGTATAAAATCACGCACTGTTTTCCAAGCTCGGGCTATTACCGTTGTATAAAAATTAGGATAAGCATGGAAGGATTCTACCATATCTTCTAAGAGTTATAAGTTTAATTTTTAAATTATTTTCATACTAATTAAGTCCAAAATGCTGCTACTTCAGTTCTTTAAAAATGCATTAAAAATTTATTCGTTTTTGGACTTGTATGTTTTGCTTCTAGACCGACGATATTATAAATACATATATGGTTAGAAATATCATATTTTTTTAATTTAATTGATTATTTCTAAATCTGTTTGGGTAATATTCAATTCCATTTTCAAAATTTTAAACAATAAAGGTTGCTATCTCCAGAAGTATATTTTTTTTCTTATTTCTGCAAGACGAATATCTGCTATCTCCCTATTGTGTCTGAGAAAAATATGATGTAACACGAAATATTGAGTTTTATTGTTCTCCAGCAAATAAAATTCTTATCTCTTTATCATATTAACGCATGAAAATACTTCCTACATGTGTACATATTTTTTTGTACCGTTTTTTGCTCTCCTGTAAAATTAGGAATAATGGAGTTAGCAGTTTATCACATTTCACCGACGAATTATCATCGATTGCCATTTCCCAGCAGTCATTGACCTTTGTGATGATCAAAACAATGGATCTGCCAGTTTTAAATCAAAATTGTATGGTTTTATTTTATTAAAGGTTTCATATAAAAGAAACAAAAATTTCTGAATTTTTAATGCTCTTTTACATGGAGCGGATCGTCCGCGCGGACCATCCGGTGGTTGTGCAAGTACCTTAAGTTTATATAAATATTTTCACAGAAGCGCGGATTATCCATTCGGATGAATTCGCCTGACGCGCGACGGCCAACCGTCGAGCCCTTGCTTTGACGGACCTATATGATTAAAAACGTTGTTTCACATTATAACCCTAAAATAATGATGACCTAAAAATATACAGGATAGTCCGCGCGGACGGTCCGCTCCATGTGAAACAGCCACAGAATTCAAATCAAAACGTATTATTAGTAATCTAAGACCTAAATATAAATTTTATGTTTTGTTCTGTTTGTTATATTTAACTGTAATAAATCTTGTAATATACAGTGTTAATCTGTACATTTTAAAACTGCATATTATCTAACATTACTTTATCGTTAATTCGGAAAATGTATTTACAGTGTTGCGAATATGCAGTTCATAACAAATAAACTTTTAGTCACGTGATTAAAGTTGACCGGAAAAGCGTTGCCGACTTTTATATATTTTCTTTTAATCAAAATATTTTAGGAAAAAAAATATTAATTATAAATATAAAGCAGTTACTATTTACATCAACAAAACTCACCTTTTTAACAGCATTTAACAGACATAAATTCGATTATTACCGCTTTCCCGTTCAAAATATTCTAATAAATTTGCGATGAGATTTTTACGGATATTAAGCTATCTTGTACACCTCGCACTAAAAGAGGTTCTAAAAAGAAGAATGTTCGACTGCAAGGTCTGCTAGTAAACATTTTCAAGCTTAAAGTATCATAACATTAACTAAACCAAAAACTCGTAATACAAAACTAAAGTGTCAAAACGACTAACGATGTCAGGAAATAAATAAATAAATGCGGCAACTTGACATTTCTTATAGTGGAGCTACCACCTGAATCCTCATTGTGAAATTTAAATTCCAGTTAGTCATCACGGCGCCGAATATGTCCATGGTAACTAAAAGTTTAATTGATATGAAATATAAGTAATAATTAGTGCCTTAGTTAAAGTAAATTTTCCAATGTTTAACCAATTAGCACCCTACTTGTAACTTTAAAAGTGCTAATAGTGTGCTCTCTGTTCCTAAAATGTTGATAAACATATATTAGTTAATCATACCACGTTATGAAATAAATGTGTATCAAATATATTTAACATCATGTTTAGAGTTAATATGCTTCTTAGTGAATAAATCATGTTGATTTCATATTTAAAAACTATTTTTATTAGCTGAAGGTTCATAAATATGTAAATAATTTCAAAATTTAAGGTTCTTTTAATAATCTAGTTTTATTACATGCATATTCACGCACCATTGCTGTTTTTAATTGCTTAATATTGTTTTATAGTCCAAACCCGGTGAGGTAACACAAGCAGTCAAAGATGCACTAGACCTAGGCTACCGTCACATCGATTGTGCCCACGTTTATTTAAACGAACCGGAAGTTGGAGAAGCATTAAAAACAAAACTTGGAGATGGAACCGTTAAGAGGGAAGAAATTTACATTACTAGGTATATTCCAACATAATAGCTTTTTAGTTAGCGATTTTTCTCTATTGTAAAATATTAAGCACCGCACTGGTATGTTACCACAATGCACTTACGATATCTGAATCGGGGTTTCCGGAACCGGAGCTCTCTTTCGGAACCAGGAATTTCGGTACCGCGCCACTTAGGAACCGAGATTTCTCGTTTTTTTTCAGTACTAACTAATAATTTCGTTCAGAGGTTTTTATAATAATGAAAAACAACTACGAACATCTAAATATATTAATTTTTGATACAAATTCCTACTACTATTTATTATAAATATTAATAACACATTTTTTAAACTTCTTCAAAACAATTCCGGCTGCTGATGATGATGACGATGATAATAGTGAAGGTCTAACTGAAATAGATTGGGCTGTTGATCGGTTTGGCTCGCACTCGGGCTGGTATGCTTCCTCAGCGATTTCTCCCAGTACTGTTTCCGCCAATGATCATTCTAATCATTGTCGCATTGGCATAACTACCGACGGCAATGTGCAGTGGTGTTAGTCTCCATTGCTGCTGTTGGACATGTTCTCATGGCACCTGTGATGCAGATACATGCCAGTCTCTGTACTTTGCACAGGTTTTGCCTTCCTGTATGTTGCTCTAGTTTTGTATACCAAGCAACTGCTCCATAAGTAATCATGGGTCTTACTATAATGGTATACATCCAGCGCAAAATGTTAGGGGCGCAGCCCCACCTATTTCCCGCCAGTCTTCTGCATATCATGGACCTTTGTGGCTTTGCTGGTAATGTTCTTAAAATGTCTGTTCCAGGGAAGTTTACTATCCAGGGTTATTCCCAGATATTTCACTTCCTATGATGGCATTTCCTTTCCATCTAGATGGATTCTTTTCAAGTTTTTCAAACTTCGCTTTCTGGTGAATGGCACTACCGCGGTTTTATCTGAGTTAATCCTCAGCCCGACAGTCCTGCACCATCTCTCAGCGATGCGGAGTCCTCTTTGGATAATATCACACAGGGTGCCTTCATGTTTCCCCGTGCTATGATGACTATGTCATCTGCATACCCTATGCAGTATATTCCCGCTAGAGTTAATTCTTCCAGTAGTTCATCCACTACCAAGCTCCACAGTAGGGGGGAGGTCACTCCGCCTTGTGGAGTTCCTTGCGTTGTTTTAACAACTACAGTGTTGGTACCTATCTCAGCCTCTGCTGTTCGTGTTGAGAGCATTTCCCAAAAGCAGCGAATTATCGTACTATTCACTCCTCTTGTTTCAAGAGATCGCTTGACCACCTTGTGAGGTATATTGTCAAACGCCCCTGCAATGTCCAAAAAGGCACAAAGTGCTGTTTCTTTGCTATCCAGGCTTGCCTGTATTAGCTCAGTTAACTGGTACAGAGTAGTTTCCGTGGATCTGCCCGCTCTATATGCATGCTGACTATCGTGCAGTGCTTTAACCTTGATTTACTCTATAATCTATAACTTTTAGGGGTACCTCTTATATTTTACATAATAATCGACCATTCCGATACATATCAGCGACCCTGTATAATTTGTTGTTTACTTTGGTCCCCAATATCAAGACCGATATCCTGGATATTTTTCATTTTTTTAACTCATTGACCGTGATATAACAGTCTTTGTTTTGCGTACTCTAAATGAAAATGGAACTGAAAGATTATTAAAAAAATCTCGAAAAACATCATTAAAAGATTATAACATTTATTAAGACCAAAGTTAGTTTTGAAGAAGGTGATAAGCTTATGAAACAAATACCTATATTGACATAGCATTTCAAATGAAAAAAATAAATATTTGAAAAATTAATTACCTATAAAGAAGATAAAAAACGTCAATTTTTATTTATTGTCCTATTACCCTAATAAAAATAGATAGCGAAACCGATAAGAAACTACTATAAAGTGTGGGAGGTTGAACCAAATAAGAATGACTTGTTAGATTTTTGTATAATGCTTTAAGTTTTTAAATAATGTACAGGGTGGCGCTCATATATCCTCTTTCTATCGAAATGAAATTCTGGCAGCATATGTAGGTTAACTGAAAGCTTGTTATAAAAATCTATAGAATTATACAGGGTATCTCCAAAAACAATTACACATAAAAGTTGTGTTTTTTCTAAAATAAAGGTGAGCATATACCTAAAATCGAAGAATTTTGACATATTTCACATTTTGTGAAAATGAAGAGTACATTTTAAATTTCGATAACAACCACTTAAATTTTAGTTGACCTTGTTATGTGGAGTTCTACCTCGAAAAGCAGCTACAATAATTTCTCTCATGTTGTCGACAATAGTTGGTCGAGTTTTGTAAAAGTAAATACTGTCTTTAACTTATCCCCATAAAAAAACAGACTAGATAAAATCAGGAGCATTTAAGTATTCTATTAAATGGTGAATGCACACTACCATTCACCATCTAATAGAATCATATCAATTCTTTCTGATGTAGGATATGTTTGCATTTTTGGCAAATTTCTGAGTTTTTTTTTGTTTTAACTGACGTGAAATAATAACTAGTTGTTAAAATTGGACTAATTATACAGCTATGTTGAAGTAACGTCAAACATATCACCTAGATGTTATCAAATAATAAAGATCTACTTAGATCAAATCATGTAAATGAAAATATCTAAGAAAATCTTTGTTTGAGGGGTAGGCAACATTAATAGTATTTTGAAGAGACATGAATTCTCCATTGAATATCGGAATAATATAATGGGTGTTCCATTTAAAATAAAAGAGTAACATACTTTTGAACGTGATCAATGTATAATATTTATTTTATCTCACCCTGTATAACTGTTTGGATCAAGTTTTAATTTGCTTTAAAGTACAATATTTAATTTACCTACATATTAGGTTATACCGGATAAATTCCAATTTAAGTACCTAGGTTTTATTGTAATTTAAAAATTGTTCTTTATTTCTAGAAAATGTTAAATATGTCAAAAACCTTACATTTTAGTCATATACTTCTCTTTTAAAACTCACCTTTATTAAGAATAAAGTTTAATTAGTAATGAGTATCATCATATCGTGCAATTCCAAAGTCATTATAATTATTATAGAAATAAAAATGTTTAACATTGATACTAACAATTTATAACAAAATTGTTTAATATGTGCTTAAAGAGAAACTAAATAAAATAAATTGACTTGGTTTTACATGAGATCTCACAACTTTTTATAGTGGAAGAATTGTGTAGCGAGACTATTGTTTTTCTTATTGGATTGTAGAGATTCTATGTTTTTGATGGGATCTCAGTTTTTTTTTGTAGGTTATTCTATTTTTTTTCAGGTAATACAGGGTGGTCCGAATTGTATTCCGGAAACTTCGACAGCATATTCTGCAGATAAAAATAAGTAAAAAAGTTCGTATAAATGTATGTCCTAAAATGCTTAGTTTCGGAGATACAGGGCGTAGAAGTTTCATTTTTATTTAGATTTTTTCCAAATAATGTCTGAAGTAACGTCAATATTTGGATGAAAATTGGTATCTGGGAGTATTGTGACACGAGAAATTTGATTTTGATGTCAAAATTACTCCTATTTGTAGGGGGGCGTCACCTACATGTGTTTTAACTGTTTTGAAGAGTAATAACTTTTCGACCGTACCTGTATAAAACCACTGACTAAAAAAATATACATTTTCATGACTTTTTATGTAAAAAATGTCTCTTGGTAAAAATCGCTAGGAGCAACCGTTCTCAAGATATTTAGAATGGAAATAAGATATTTAGAATGGAAAAAAAATAAGCACACGCGTTGAGTATAGTTATTTGACTGAAATAATAAATTTTTATTTTTTTAAATTAATCATAGGTTTTTCTGCGAAAAAATGATGATTAAACAATTTCTTTTGAACTTTTGACACAAAAAGATTTCAAATTTATGAATTCAGTCTAATTACTATTTAGTCAACATGTTTAATTTATGTCAATGATGACAGGTATTGATAATTTCGATTCCATATATCTCGAGAACCATTACTCGTGGCGATTTTTACCAAGAGACCTTTTTTATGTAAAAAAAAGTCGCAAATGTATATTTTTTTACTCAGTAGTTTTATACAGGTACCGACGAAAAGTTATTACTCTTCAAAACAGTTAAAACACATGTAGGTAGCGCCACCTACAAATGGGAGTCATATTGACATCAAAATGAAATTTCTCATGTCAAAAAACACCCATCCACCAATTTTCATCGAAATATTGGCGTTACTTTAGAGGTTATTTGGAAAAAATCGAAATAAAAATGAAACTTCTACACCCTGTATCTCCGAAACTAACCATTTTAGAACATACATTTATACGAACTTTTTTACTTATTTTTATCTGCAGAATATGCTGCCGAAGTTTCCGGAATACAATTCGGACCACCCTGTACAAATAAAATTAAAGATGTTTGACTAGTAATAATTCATAAACTTTGAATTATTTTATAAAATCAGATAATATCAAATGGATTAATTCTAGTTTTTTTAACGACTTGCATTTCCGACTTTTGTTATATAACTCAAATTTCAACTTTAAAAATGTTCAATTCATGATTTTACCAATGCTTATTTAAAATCATGCTTTTTGTCAATTTTACACATTTTATTTTTTATCTCGAAAACTAGAGAATTATTAAAAAAAAAATGGAACATCCAAAAACTATTTTTAGCATTCCAAAAACAATATTCTTAAACCGTCAATCAAAACTAAACCGTATTTTAATTTTAAATTTCAGTAAATTATGGAACACAATGCACAGACCAGACTTAGTAGAACCAGCAATCAGAACTACTTTGAAAAACCTAAACTTACAATATTTGGACTTATATTTAATTCACTGGCCTTTCGCGCTTCAGGTAATTAACTTTTTTAACCTCTATAATAGCTTATTTCTAATATATTATATTATTACAGGAAGATGGAGACCTATTCCCAGTTGGCAAAGATGGTAAAACCGCCTTTAGCGATGTTGATTATTTGGACACGTGGAAAGCACTGGAAGCATTAGTTGCAAAAGGATTAACCAAATCTATTGGAGTTTCAAACTTCAACAAGAAGCAACTCGAGAGGCTATTGGCTAATGCTAAAATTCCTCCAGTAACCAACCAAGTAAGTAACGAAAATAATTTAGATTATTCTAAATAATTATCATAATTATGAATCAGTATGAATAAAAATTTGAAGGGCATTTTTTGCATATAAAATATCCAAAACTAATCTACATAAGAGTAACCCAGTATTCTACAGTATTATTTGACATAAGGTTACTATACCAACCAAACATTTGTGTTTTTCTAGATTGAAGTTCACCCATACTTGAACCAACAAAAATTAATCGACTACTGCAAATCGAAAAACATCGTCGTAACAGCCTACAGTCCCCTGGGTTCACCTGACAGACCCTGGGCAAAACCCGGCGATCCTCAATTACTGGATGACCCCAAAATTCAAGCCATCGCCAAGAAATACGGCAAAACACCTGCCCAAGTTGTAATCAGGTAAGCAATTTGGGAATGTAATTTTCGGAATGCTTATAGGAATTGTTTTAATGAATGTTAGTTGTCACTATTAATATATACATGGGTGTTACAAATTCGGAGTACGAGCATTGGTATCTCGGAAACAGTAATAGATACAAATATTGTTAAAAATTTGGGTCAAAGTTGTGTCTTGGTATCAACATTCAATCAAAAACTTAAAATATTTCAAAGATCAGCAATTTTTTGAAAAAAGCGATTTTTTCTGTCGAAAATCGAAAAACTAATTGCACATTTTCATAACCACTTTTTCATGGCTATCTGACAATATATTTAGATTTTCAAATTTGCTAATAGTTTATAAGATACATAGGCCAACTTATTTTTTTTAAATACGAACCTGCGTTTTTTAGTTTAGGTTTTGAACGAATTCATCTCCTGAGTACAACGATATGCCACATATTAATACATACGCTTTGCAGAATGTAGAATGTTTAGGAGGGGAGTTAACCACCGCGACCTTACAGATCTCTATTGTGTGTTTCCCTTTCTTGAGTTATAACGAGTTATAACTCATTATACAGTCTCATGGCTTTAACAAAAGCCAGTATCTGAGACGGCTCCACAGATTCCAACTCTCCATCCTCCATCAGCCGTACCATAATTCATGGCACGAATGGTCGTCGTCTCGGCACACTCAGTGATAAGGTGTTCTGGTGTTTTGGTGTTTCCCCATTTTCCCCAGAGAATCCGCATTCGCCGTTGTTTCTCAGATTCAGCCTACTGAGGTGTTCGTTGAGGAGACAGCGTAGTATTAGAAATCCCGTGACAATCCGAAGATTGTTTTTACTTAAATCAAGGAACACGTTTGATTTTTCTCGGTCATAAGTTCTGAAGAACCTTTTCGAGTGTCTTAGACCGTTGGAGGACACCCATTCCAAGTTACCGATGGAGTCTTCCAGATTCTTCAGTTCTGCTTTCAGTTGGTTCCCGTTTGGAAAACAGAACGGTTCTGGTCCAGTTAGTGGAGTGTTTGCTCCTTTTCTAGCTAGATCATTTGATTTCTCATTGCCTTCTATCCCTTGGTGAGCAGGCACCCAGAGTAGGAGGACTTTATTTTCTTTGCCTAATTTGTTGAGCTTCTCTATGCATTCTTTGACCAACTTCGAATTGATGGTTACTGACTTGATCGCGTTTAGTGCTGCTTGGCTATCGGGTAGGATGGCAATTTCCTGTTTTCGATAGTTCCTCTCTAAGATAAATTGTACGCATCTTTCGATGGCGTAAATTTCTACCTGCAGGATACTGGGGTAGGTGCCATTGCATTAGTTCGGAGTATTTAGTTTTCGGTCCAAATACTCTTATCCCTGTCCCTACTCTTATCCCTGTCCCTGTCCTTGAATTATGGAAGCATCAGTATACCACATTATGGTATGGTCTTTTACATTCTGAGTAAGCGTTTCTTCCTTCCAATCCTGTTTAATGTTTTGGGCACAATAACACTATTTAAACTGATTTCAAGTCCGGCTCTGGGTTTATAAATTTAACCTCATTATATTCATCGTAACAATATTGATGAGTGCTAATTAACATTGAATAAGGAAAGTTTAGCCAATTGAAAGATTCAAATAAATAAATAAATAATATCCAACTCAGCTTTTTAAACATATTGTTTTTATCTTCTTGTTTTATGAATTTGAAATCTCAATGTACTAACTAATAATATGCAAAATATTAATCGTAATCAGCTTCTACAAACTAGTTTCTAATGCTCGAAAAGATTACCACCTTCCCTATAATCAAAGTTTATTGTGTAGCCGGACTTGAAGTTAGTTTAAATAAATGTATTTAAGTGCTCGAATCAAAAAAAATATTAAAAGTGGTATATGGTTGTACTCAGGAGACCGAATTCTTTCAAAAAATAAATAAAAAATGTAGATCTGTATTTAAAAAAAAATTAAGTTGACCTATGTATCTCACAAATTATCAGTTAATTTGAAAATTTAAGTAGCCTTGTATATAAATTTTTATTGTGTTACTACAACATTATTATGTCTTTTAGGTATGGTCTTCAAAGAGGCCTTATCGTTATCCCTAAATCTGTGACGAAATCAAGAATTCAACAGAACTTTGATATTTGGGACTTCCAGTTGTCTGCCGATGATATTGCTCAATTGAACACCTTCGATTGTAATGGAAGAATCTGTCCCTATGATGAGTAAGTAAACTTAAATATCAAGTTTTATGCAAGTAAATACAAGATTGTTTATATTTAAAACTATTAAAGGAAAGTTAAATAATTACTATAAAGATACAATCTAAGCAAAATTAATAAATGTCAGATATACATAAAACATGTAAACTATAATTAACTAATACAATTTATATTTTTAGTGCCTACGACCACAAAGACCACCCCTTCATTCGTGATGAATACTAGATGAAGAGCCGTTTTTCCGATTTTGTGATTTGTACAATTCGTTTTATTTTTTACTACTATTCAAATAGGTCTAATGCCACATAAAAATGCAAATGTCATTCAAATCTTTATATACACTTCCTCATTACAACGCACACCGTATTACCTCTCATATTGTTAATGTTGGTTTTAAATAAAGAAAAAGTCCCAGAATAGTTTTTATTTCATTTACAATTTCTGTAAAATCTTCTGACTATTAACTCATTAAAAACTTAATATATCAAAAAATGTTTAAAAATTCAGAGAAATAAAATTCTCAGTCTTTTTAAATAAAGCAATTTGTTTCTTAGCCAACAAAAATATTTTTATATTGAGAATAAAATGAGGATCCATCTCAACTTTAGAAATGAGAAAGCAGATCTGCATAATAACCCAATAGATCAAAACTCATCTAAAGTCTGTCCAGTGAGAGAAAGTGCGGTTTTAAAAGGCAGCGTCCAAAAGACGACAGTATAGTGCAAATTACTTTAGAATTAAATTGACATACAATAATTGCCGCTATCAAATATTCTTTCGCTAGACAAACTATACCATTTGAAGTGTGCATGGTATAAATTCAGCATGTAAAAATATTGAATTTTCAAAAAGTAACATTTAGTTTTTTCCAAAGAAAATGAGGTAGGCCATTGAATTATTTCAATGTCTTAAGCAAATAAATATAGTTGTTTCTAAAATTAATACTACATAATCGATTTAAGTAAGTAACTTTACTGATTAAAACTTTGTTAATAAACTTACCATGTATAATTCACTTTGTATATGTTGTGATTAGATTTAACCGACTAGATTTAACCGTACGCCAGTTCACGTATAAATATTGAATCCTTTTTATATTGGAAAATTACTCAATGTTTAAGGAACTAACTAATATATAGAATACTTACTCTTACTTCGTTGGAAGCTTTTGGTTCAGTATCAATTTCAAGTGCAAATTTAATTATAGGACCATACATGTTCGGGAGTCAGAGTGGAGGAATGGTGGAGTTTGCTGCTTTTGATATTAGACCCCTGATACGAAAAATAATAAAATACGATTCAAGTAACACGATTTTTGAGCAATTAGTCAATAATAAGCAATTATTCACTTAAAATTTTATAAGCAAATTAAAGATACAATTCTCAGGATGCACCAAAAAATCGTTATATCTTAGGCCCGTATTTATAGTTGCGTCTCGAGACGCCAAGACGGTCTTGGGCTCTTGAGAGCGGAATCCACAGAATACACGAGCAAACGTCATTTTGGAGATTGCGATTTTTATTTTGGAGATTGTCATTTTGGATAGTTTATGTGATCTGTGGATAGTTTCTTAACCTAACTTTTTTAGTAAACAAAATAAATCCCTTGTAAATCCCTTTTGTCTGATTAAACAGTTTTGAATATGTTAGATGAGTTTGAAGATATTTTGAACCATGTGGAAGAAAAAAATCGTCTTTGAGTTCCAAAACGATATATAAGGGATGCAAGAAATCCAATAGAAATGTTTAGCGAGGGGGAATTTAAATACCTATAGGTATTAGCGATATAGGTTTAGCAAGGCTACAATTACAGAAACTATTTTACCTCTTGTAATTGCAAAAATCTACCAATCGTGGTTTACCTATTCCCCCCTTTATTCAATTATTAATTTGTTTACCGTGTTATGCGACTTCTAATTTTCAGATAGTAAGTGCCCAAGCAGCATTTGGACGTCGGGACAACGTTGTGTCACGCGACCAAACGTCGGGGCGCAACGTCGGCACAACCTCGTGCCAACCCTAGTCTGCACTAGTTTGGAGAATAATTTTTGGGTCGAAACGACGTTGGATACCGACGTTGGCTAGAAGCCTAATTTAGTACAAACTGCAACGTTGTTTAAAATCCTAATTTACAGAAATACAAAACTAATATGGCGTCTAAGTCGCGTTTTATCCTAAATTGGGATAATTATAGTAAAAATATTATTTTTATGATTTAGTTAGAGACATATGTCAGATGGCAGTGAAGGAAAACAAAACAAGAGTATTTAAGTGTGGAGGATGTTTGAAGATCATAATTATTGAAACACTTTAACCGACTCTGTAACTCGTTACCCAAGGCAAAAAAGTTAAACGCAAACAACTTTATTGATAAATGTATTGTTTCTACTTTGAAAAAATACTAATGGGCCTTAAAATTAAAGAAGTTTTAAAAATTTTTTTGAATTTTTTTTTTTTAGTAAAATGAGAATAATTCATTCGCAGTCGAAAAAATTGTTTCCGCGTGTTTTTAGGGTCAAATATTTCAAGTTAATGTATTCAAAAGCAGGAATTGCTATTTTAGAAACGAAACATTCTCTTATTTAACAACATGGCGGCTTGCACTTTGTTGTTTTGGAGATTAAGATGGAGTAGTTCGAGTAGTCGCATACTGGTCTAATAAAGTCGCAGTTCGGCCTTAACAGGTAGTATACTAGTCGCAAGATTGCCTAATTTAGTCATCCTAGAGTTTAGCTTGTGCCGCCCTCTATAATATAAATAAACGAGGGAGTGGATAAACTATCAATAATATATGTCGATGTATATTTAAATTTAGTTTTATATGTACCTTTCTTATGTCCCATTTTAATTAAGTTTTTTTTTATAAAAACAAAAACAGCACTGAACTGTCTGACTGAACAGAACAATGAAGTGAAAATTTAAGATTTAAGGTTATGGTTCAATACAGTTGCAAAAAGGTAGTGACCCGACGTCCTACCAACGTAAGAATAAGGAAATCTAAACAACGTTGGAATTAGTAAAACAGACGACGTTTGCATAACGTTGGAATAGGTCCTGAAACTGACGTCGGAAAACTCTATATTGTCCAACGTTGTAGCTACGTTCTAAAGATCACTTAAGCAAAAAAGGTTAGAAGACAACGTTTATTCGACGTCTCAGAAGTTTCTACTTTGCTGTAGTACAAGTCCAACGTCGGCACAACGTTATAAAAACGTTTAAATTTATTTTAATACCTAAGGTAGGGAGCTAACTATTTTTTGTAACTAATCCAACGTTGTGTTTAGTAAACATGTGGTCGCAAGTCGTGAAAATGCTACTTGGGTGGAGACTTGCATGGTGTTAGCCAACCTACAATAAGCCAGATTATCAAGAGGGTCTCCATTTTAATAGCAGAACATTTGAGTGAATTTGTGTGATACAACCATAAATGGTTGAACAGCATTATTATTCCAATGATACTGGCTTCGGCTTGTGCAGATAATGACAACAAATGGGATACATATATTAATAATATAGAAAGAGCTATAAATACATCTCTGAATCAATTCACTGGCGAAAAAAACACCAGAATTATTATATGGATATATTCCGAGGATTGAAGATTTATTTGAAGATGGACAAGTGAGGTTATTGACAGTAAAGAATGAAAAGTACTCGATTACCTGAAAAATTGAGAGAAGAGGTCAAAGAACATATAGAAATGGAACAAAGGAAGTATAAAAAAATTTATAGCTAGCAGACTAGCAAAAAAAGAAGAGAGAAGAATGTCATCTAGACGACAAGAAATAAAGAAGCAGTAAAAACGCAATAATCATAGAATGCGTGTTGTGAAATATTATTTGAAATAAAACTATAAAACATAGAGTATCGACTTTATATAGAGTGGTCAACTCAATAAGAATACAGAATTTACACCAAGCAATAAAATCTTGAAAATTATAGGTATACGGTGTATACATCCAATATTGTATATTATGTGATATGATATTTATGTAAATATTCATGATGAAAATAAAAAGACAATTTTTTTAGTTTTAATGTATTAGTGGGAAAATTCTGTGTGACCAGTTAAAACAAGCACTTAGCTGTCTGGTCATAGTGAGCGTAAAACTACTAAGAAATCATATATTATTTAAGTATAGAAAAACAGTATTTTTAAGATAACTAATAAAAGTCTATAAGGAATTACTTACAATTATATTACATGTAAATATATAAATACTAACTTAACCACTAATAGAAAAGTAAATAAAATTATTATATAGGTACTAGTTACCTTGGAACATTACTTAACATATTACATAATTACTAGATATACAAATACATTAATTTGCAAAATGTTGAATAAGATTTCTTCAAAAATCTAACCCTCTTCCTTTTTATTTATAATTGGAATGTGTAAATTAGCATCTTCAAAATTATCTAAATTTTCCCTTAAACCAATATTATGAAGAACAGGTGTTGCACAAATAATAGCAACAGTTGTTTTGTAAACCTCGAAGACATGGAAGATGTTTTTTCCAAGTCCCAAATAGCCTTTCAACATTTCGCGTTCTTCTATGGGCAAAGTTATACCTGGTTTCTTGTTGATTACCTAGCTGTAGAACAGGAGTCAGTAGAAATGGCCTACATCTATATTGTCTCCAAGAAGTAAACCAGGAATATCACTCCTTTCCATTAGCATTCTTAAATTACTTGGATCGAATATAACACTATCATGACTTGACCCTGGATATCCAACTATAATATCTATAATTTCCCTTTTGGGACCTGAACATTTAGACTAAAAAAACTTTTGCAATTTTGAAATACTTCCACATTATTGCATTATTCTTGATTATCTGGCTTATTGTAGGTTGGCTAACACCACGCAAGTCTCCATTTACCATCTGAAAATTACAAGTCGCATAAAACTGTAAACAAATTAGTAATTGAATAACGGGGAGAATGGGTAAATCACGACTGGTAGGTTTTTGCAAGTCTTCAATTTATAAGAGGTAAAATAGTTTCTGTAACTGTAGCTTTGTTAAACCTATATCGGCATAAATCCCCCTCGCTAAACATTTCTATTGGATTTCCTGCATCCCGTATATATCTTTTTGGAACTCGAAGACGATTTTCTTCTTCCACGTGGTCCAAAATATCCTCAAACTCTTCTAACATATTCAAAACTGTTTAATCAGACAAAACGGATTTACAAGGGATTTACTTTGTTTACAAAAAAAGCTGTGTTAAGAAACTATCCACAGATCACATAAACTATCCAAAATGACAATCTCCAAAATGAAAATCGCAATCTCCAAAATGACGTTTGCTCGTGTATTCTGTGGATTCCGCTCTCAAGAGCCCAAGACCGTCTTGGCGTCTCGAGACGCAACTATAAATACGGGCCTTATACAATTTATCTTAATGGGATCTTACCTATAATATTTTAACTTATTTCGTATGACATTATCGGCAAAACCAACAAGCATTACATACTTTGAGTTATGCAGGTCATCCTCTATATCGTAATAAAAAAGAGACTAAAAAGCATGAACGAAGGAGATACAAGTTGAGATACAACCTCCGATATCAGTCTAAATAGCCTGGAGAGATAATGCCCACAAGGAGCATGCTGTATGTTGCCATGGAAGGATGAATTATAACTGACTCTGTCTAAGAACTTGGATAAGTTAGTATAAAAAGCATGTACATGTACCTATCTGTTTACGTCCTCCATGGCTTCAAATAAAGTAGTTTGACAGACAATAGAGATTGTCTAAAATTAAGTTGACCAACGTTTTTCAAATTTTGAAAAAAATGTCATACCTATGTGGCGGATTCATCTTTCCAAAAAAAAATCTTTATGGGTATTTCGCCACTGCACTGCAAGAAAATCTACAAAACAAAATAATTATTTTTTGTAAACACTTCTGCGTTAAATCTAAACGGACGCTGCTTGTCAGAAGTAATGTTTACAAACATAATATATAGAAGTAATAGATAAATAGTAACATAATAAATAGAAGTAATGTTTACAAACATAACTTCTGACAAGCAGCGTCCGTTTAGATTTAAAGCAGAAGTGTTTACAAAAAATAAGTATTTTGTTTTGTAGATTTTCTTGCAGTGCAGTGGCGAAATACCCATAAAGAATTTTTTTGGAAATCTCTATTTGTCTTAAGTTGACTTGCCCTTGCAAAACTTATATGCGGACTTCCAGAAATAATATCATTACAAGACCACCATAATTAGTCATAAATATGATGTAAACAACAGAAGAATTGATTAGAATGATGACTATAGATTAGAATGATGACTATATACAAACAACTATGCAATTTCTAAACTTACTGGCTATCATCGAATAACAAAATTGACATAACGTAACTATGCTACCAAAGGGTAGCACAGTGTGGAAGGATCTGGAAGGCACAGTGTGGAAAGGTATACAAGTAAGGTATATAAGTAACTGTAGAGGTTTTTATATGGTACATATACAATTTTTAACACTAAGAAGTATAGAAATTTTGTGTGGACAGCTGTTCTTTAAACAGATGATCGAAGCTCTTAAGCGTGATTTTCATGCATCCGTTGTCCGACGATATGTTGATACGATATTAATTTCATTGGTTGTATTTAAAGGCTTCGATTGATTAATCGTTTCTAACCAATCGAAGTCTTTAAATTCAACCAATAAAATTAATATCGTATCATCGTATTGTCGGACAACGGATGCTTGAAAATCAAGCTTTAGTTTTAACTATAGTCTATTTTTAAAAGCTAGATAGCACAATACCTTCATTATAAATGCAAAAGACGTTTTTTTGTACACTGTGACATGCCAAAAGATGGGACCAATTTCATTTTAAGGGTATATACTCCAATAAACTTCAGACAGCTTTAACACGTTTGTCTGATAATGACCGATTGACACATCCGGTACATGTGCCGAGAACAATAGCAACCCCTCGTATAACTTAGGGCAATAAAGATATTCAAGTACTGACCGCACTAGTGTGGGGTATTAGGATTTTAAAATTTATTTTTAGTTTTGTTAAAACATATTATTTACACAACCATGATTTTTTTTCCAAAAGACCTTTTTTAAAAATGACGGAAATGTATTTTTTTTTACTCAGTGCAATACAGGTACGGATGAAAAGTTATCATTTTTGAAAACAGCTAAAAAAATTGTAGGGAGCGCCCCATACAATTTGGTGTCATACTGACATCGAAATCGAATTTCAAAAGACGCCCAAGCACCAATTTTTATCCGAATATTGGCGTTAGTTCAGAAATTATTTGGAAAAAATCAAAATAAATATGAATCTTCTAGACCCTATATTTCCGAAACGAAGCTTTTAGGAGATAAATTTATACGAACTTTTTTATTTATTTTTATCTGCAGAATATGCTGTCGAAGTTTCCCAAGTTAAAGGAAAAAAGTTACACGTTATTAATATGTGTATATTATTCGTAAACAAAAAGATACAAATATAAACAAATAATCTAGTGAACATTAATATTACATTGTATAACAAAAGTGCTTCGGATTCAAATAGAAATTCGTTAAAAAACTATTGCTTATATATTATTGTTATGTTTCAAATACATTAAAACTAACAGTAAGAAAAAAATTATATACATTTTTATAAAAAATGTCTCTTCGGTCCACTAAAAAACTACCTTATTCCTCAGTTTCTGGTATCGTGGGCGGTATAAAAATAGGACCGTTTTGACTAGGCGGTATAAAATTGGGATCGTTAGGGATTGGAGGTAGGAAAAAAGATCGAGGTTGTGATGAAACTTGGGACTGGGAACTTTGTGGATGATCAGTTCGAGAAGATGATTGGGCATCTTCAAAGTCGTCTTCTTCAATGGAAGATTGTTGTTCTAAATGTCGTTCCAGTTGTATCAGTCTCATTTGAAAGTACCGTTTTTCTTCGTTTATGCAAGCGAGATCTTTTTCTTGTTCGGCGATGACTTGTTTGAGATCGGATATTATATTGAGGTCTTCTTGTCGAGACTCACGTCGTTCATAACGTTGACGTACTTCTTCAAATCTAGAAAAATGATCAAAACGATAATTTCCTCAGCAAAGGTTTTTCCTTTTTTAAATTTTTAGATAATAAAACGATATTTTGTATTTTAGTATATAACATAAATCAAGATTGATTGACGTATTCAATTATTTGCGGTCACTACTTGTTGCACGGAAAAAACTAGAACTTTTTATTTTTAAATGGTATCCTCGGTATTTTTTTGCTTTATTTGATAGAAAATGATATTCAGAATAGAATGACATATCATATGTCAACTTGCGATATTTTCAGTTAAAAAATAGTATTTTAAATTTCAATCTAGTGTATAATGGCTATATTTAAAACCACTAATTTTTATCAAGGAACATTGGAAAAATATATTTGACCGTCTGATATTTTTCGTGTCTTTTCCTGCCGGTTAAAAGATGACCGTCCAAGAAAATAGGCCTTTAAATACGAACTTTTGGTAAAAACTTGAATTTTTGATATTGTAACGTTTTTAGTTCGTTACATGTCTTTGTATATGATCTATGATGTCTGGCGGATCATTACCGGATTCCCTTTCGTTCAGGCCGGATAATTTACTTGACGCGCCTGGCGTAACTTTTACGTTCTTTAGTCAGCACACGTTTCTACGTTCCCTACACTGCTCTGTGGAGGCGCTGTCAACATCGCTTCAAGGCGTCTCTCCGCGCTTAACTTCACTTTGAGTTTGGTCGTCGGCCATCTCAATAGTCCTGACTTGAGAAATTGCAATTATTTAAATCTTGCTGTATAATTTGAATCGGCTGCTATTTCGAAGCTACAGGTAAAGATGAGTTATTATCTTTTTTAGATTCGTTATTATTATTGAATATTTTTAGGGTAGAGTTTTAAATTGACCCACCTTAACTCGTATTTGTATTTTGCTGACACATTGGTGTTCTTTTGCTTTTGTCCTCCAGAATGTTACATGGAAGAAAGGACAGTTTCTTTGTTTATTATTGAGCCCTCGGAAGTAAGTCGAGGTAGGTTTATTTTGCTTATTAGATCTTGTTTGGTTTTAAACAAGAGTTTCGTATTTTTAGGGTCCAAGGTATGGGCAGGTGTCCCATATATATGTATTGAGTCCAAGGTTATGGTCCAAGTTACGGACAGTATCCAAGGTACGGGTAGTGTCCCCATATTGCCACAGTATGGATGTAGCGTAAGCCCCATGCTGCTTCGTTCTCATTTCTAAGCCTAGTCAGTAGTTACGGCTGTATTGCTTCATGGTGTCCCCGTTCTGGCCTCTTTTGTTGTATTGGCCAACAGGATCGCCGACAGACAGTACAGAGATATGAGCCCACCTCACGCTGCTACTCTTTGAAACAGGATAGCCTCAAGAACAGCTAAGTGTAGATTTAGTTTCTGGGTTTCAGTCGATTTTCAGTCTTAACAGAATAACGTACATTTTAAATAATATCGTACAGAATATGTTTAGTGGTTAGATTAACAACTGTGTTTTCTTTCTCTGTTCATGCCTGGCGCCCAATATTTGTATTTTCGATTTATTATTGTTAGTTAGTTTCTTTCCAGTGAAATACCTTATCCACGACTGCTCTACCAACGAAAAGCTGCCGTTCGCAGTGGTAATGTTTTATAAAAAAACGCTACAATATATGTTACTTTGAAAGATCTAAAAACGAAGTGAAGATTTTTTTGAAATTCACCCCCGAGAAGGGATGATATAAATAAATAAAATTATTTTTTCGAAATTTCGGAGAAACGGTAAGAACTAGAAAAAAAAATCAATTAAAAGTTGTAGAGTGTCCAATTTTACATAAAAATGGTCTCTCTATTTTTTTGGCTCAAACCGAAAATTAACCGAGATAGAAGCTAGGGGATGATAGTAGAAATTAAAAAAATATATATATAAGTTGCTGAAAAATTCATATACAGGGTGTTTCAAAACAAATGCGAAAAACATCAGGGGGTGATTCCTTGTTCAAAATAAAGGGTAGTTTGCTTCATAAACGTTGGGTCAAAAGTCAACCATTAGGGAGATATCGCGATACAAAAATGGCGGAAAAATAATGTTCTTATTTTTTTATCTTGAAAACGAAAAGAGATAGACTAATGAAATTTTATGGAAGCATTACTGTTATGAAAACACACTTTCTGGTAATTTTTTCACTTTTTTAAAATGAGTGGAAGGGGTTGAAATAAACTACCCCTATCATTCTTGTTAACGAAATTTAAAGAAAAATCTTATCAAACACATGCAAAAAAATTAATTTGGATAGTTTAGTTTATTTAGAAACTATTTTATCTCTTGTATTTTTTTTATAAAACTCACTGATTTGAAATTAAAAAATAAAATGTAAAGCATTACATGTCAGGACTAAAAATATTTTTAGATTAAGAATCGAAGATAATAATGATAATAATAATAATCTAGATAATACCGTATTGCAGTAGGGTAATGTCAAATAAAACAATATTAGAAACATCCTAAAAAGTGACAGCGGCCGACTAGATTATTTCCTAAAAAAATTACAGCTGCCCACTAGATTCTTTATCTAAAAATGTTTTTTGTCCTGACATGTAATGCTTTACATTTTATTTTTTAATTTCAAATCGGTGAGTTTTATCAAAAAAACACAAGAGATAAAAAAAAATTCTATATAAACTAAACTATCAAAATTATTTTTTTTTTATTTGTTGTGAAACACCCTGTATAACATTTTTATTCAATTTGTTTGGAAAATTATAAATTTGAATAAAGATTTTTTTAATTCACCCCGAAAAGAGGTGAAAGATATAAATAATGTTTTTTTCCAATTCCAGAGAAACGGTAAGGACTTGTTTAAAAATGTTTCACTAAATGCTGTCCCCTAGCTTCTAGCCACCCTATCGATTAATTTTGATTTAAGCAAAAAAATTATAGAGACCATTTTTATGTAATTGGACAATCTACAACTTTTATTTCAACTTTTTTTTCTAGTCTATACCGTTTCTCCGAAATTTCGAAAAAATAATTTTATTTATTTTTACACACCCCGTTTCGGTGGTGAATTTTAATTATTTTCATCTGCAGATTATTCTGCCAAAGTTTCCCGAACACAATCTGAAACACCCTGCACAGAAAAATATATTTTTCCCTAAACAGGTAATAATTAGAAAAGGGTTATTACTTAAAAACAATAAAACTAAAACTTACAATTTTGTCAAACAGTTGCATTTCCTTTGAAGGTGTTCGATAGTTTCCTGGCTTTGTTTATGACTGCCCATAAACTTAAGTCTATATGCTTCTCTTTCTTTTTCTCTTTCTTCTAATATTCTAGCGATAGTCTCATGTAAGCTTCTGCGGTAAAAAGGAACAAGGACTATTATGACTACTTTTAAATTACTTTCAGTGCTTCCTAATATATACATACAACTTTGAGTACAAAATAAAAGTGAGTTTGAAAGCAAATAATAGTTTAGGTTAGGTATAAATTTTCAATTTTTATTTTAGAATATAAATTAAAAAAATAGAGATAGTATCCAATTCTATTTTTCTTTCATATAAATTTAGATTATAAATTTAGAACAATATCACAAAAATCACAGAAATGTAATAATTGACTGTTTATACAAACTTTTATTAAAGAAATATATCCAATATTGTTATAATTTTTCCAATTACTTACAATTTATAAAATTACAAAAATTGCTGTCTTAGAGTAGAGTATGTCTAAAACAATCACAAAATCTACAATGCAATATTATACAAACATGCAAACAATTTAGCGTTTTAAACGTCCAACGATATTAAATGAAGTTTTATTTATTGTTAATGAAATAATATAAAATGGAGATTAATATGAATAATATTGTTTGAAAAATGGACTGGGAAAGAAAATATGAAATGACGGGATAAATGAGTACTAGAAAGGTTGTATCCGGAGATAGATCCTTAGTACTGAAAAAATATAAAAATATGATATATTAGAGTACAAGTTTGTAATCACAGGTAGTTAATTGGTAAGTTAATTTCCTGAAAAAATATTATAAATTTATTTATGAATCAATATAATTTTATGCAATGCATATGTTACTGTAAAGGGCCGAAATTAGTGAAGACAAATACAAAATCCAGCGGCGAAAGACCGAATATTGGTTAATTTAATTTAATTATGCATTCGGATTCCATATAAATATATGTATATGAGTTTTGACGGTGTTGGGAAAACTATTCCAATGAGAGTTTTAATATAAGACACAGTTTGATATAAGACGGACTTCCTCTAGAAGATGAGAGACCTTGTCGTTGGTGGGGAAGCTCCTAGTCAGGTGGTTATGGTTATCTTGTTCCTGGGTGTAGTGTTATGACCAGGGAATTGCACCAAGACATATAACGATGCCGGATGGGATTATCCTAGCCACTCTACTAGGCACCCTCTACTGTCTGTGGTCATGTCTCACGGGTAGAGGGTGTAGGGTGGTGTGGTGGGGGTCTTTGCTTAACCACCTGGACCAAGAGGGGACAACCTCTCCAAAAACATAAATACTACGATGATGGGATCATGCCAAAGGGACACGTGGCTAGACAGAAGACTAGCCACCGGTGGCCTAGATATACAGGTATTAAACCAGAGGTAAACACAACAACATTGTATTTACCTCTTAGTCTACATGCGGGCTCTGTAGAAGTGCAACGGCTAACCCTAGCTATACCTCTGATCAATATGAGATCAAGGATATAAAACACCACCGGTGAAGCTGTGGGGAACCCCCTAGCAACACGGGAAACATCATTAATGCAAGTTCCAAAGGACTAATCCCAAAGGGAACTATAGAAGGAACGGCTGACACTTGCGAGAGACCAGCTTCCATAAGTGGCACACAAGCTATCACCTCCTGTAGTAAGGGTCGGAGAGCCTACCACTAGACTCAACAAGCTACCGTTTCGTCTACCCGGCATTGGATCCCCTTCCTGGCGGTAGGAAGCAAAAGCAATAATACTCCTTGAAAAGTGGACAGCAAAGGAACCAAGAAACAGCCTGGCGCTACTAAATGGCAAGAGAGGGAACGAGAACCTCTCACCTCTGCTTGGGCAAGGAAAGAAAAAAAACCAGGATGGAAAGCTGTTTAACACCGAAAGGCAAGCAGGGACGTATCACCAGCTTTGCTGCTATTGCTGGACAAGTGAAAATAGTGGTGCTGCCAAATAATTACCCAGAGGTTGCACTGGCCACCGACCAGCAAATGGCTCTAGAAGAGGAGGCGACACAGGACGAAGTAGTAGCTAGCGGATTGCAACGCAACGGCCCACAAAGTGTGGGTCAGCTGCGTTTTGCAGGGATACACTTTCAGGTTCCTCATAGATTTTATATCTCAGGAGTCGGCGGATTGGTTGGTGGTAATCGCTCAAATTTTGAGAACCATTGTTTTTTTTTCGGGGTTTTCTTCTTGTAAATTTAATCTATTACCAATGCTGCCATATTATGGAGATATATTTTAACTAGACATTTTAAAAACTCATTTTTGAAAAAAATTTTCAAAAAATTCCAAATTTTCAAAATTTGTTTTTCGCGAAAAAAATCTCATAGACGTGTTTCTGGGATCGAAACATACCACCCCTAAAAATATTTGCAATTATTTAAGACGCACCCTGTATATATTAAATTGAACCTACAACATATGGTGCAAGTTGAATATTCACTGAAGTAAGAAATACAAATTTTCTTTGCTTTTTCTTCTGACATTCAACAAGACTTCGTAAATTCTAGAAACTTTGACATTGACCAGATTTCGATATTTCACAGTAACACATATATCAGAGGTTCTCGTTTTGTAAACCTCTGAATAAACTTCCATTTGTTTCGTTGTCCTTTTAACTGTGTCCTTTTCGATGAGTCGGAATCGAAAAATATTTAAAAGTGAATGGAATCCGTGTTTAGTGGCTCTATATGAAATTTTTGACTTAACAACTTATTCCCTGTGATTACGGATACAAAAATAAAAATAAATGTGCATTCAATTTAGAAAGTTAATGATGCTATAAAAAAAGGTTAAACAAAACAGGGGAAAACATAAAATAAACTGTTAGAACTAATCCCATTTACATTCATCTAAAATTAAATGATGAAATAATGAAAATATACAGCCAGGCAAAGTAGCTGGCAAAGTTCTCTTATTTTAGTCTTGCAAGGATTTAAAAATTAATTTAGATGTCGAGATATATTCATATCCAGAAGCATATTCATATATTAAAAATATAAACGATTTTAAATATTAATTTTCAAATATTTTTAAGCCCTAAGTTTTTTTTTCTTAAATTATAGAAAATTATGTAAATAGAAAAATAGAAAATAGAAAAATTGAGACCAGGCCAGTAACCCCTTTTTGGCGCCACCATAATAGTATACTCTCTAAATATATCCTCGTTACAAGAAACATCGATTAAAACAGTAGCAGAACGACCTTGGAGAATAATGCAGTCGTTATCGGCAAAATAGTTGCCTGATTTTATTGATTTTTTAACGTTTTTCTTCTTATTTTTTTTTAATTATTATAAATATCTCATCTACATCTCATTTATGAGGAAAACATTGAAAAAATAAAACTGATTACATATTTTTATTTTTTTTATAAATAAGCAATGTTATCTAAAATATTTGATGGCACGCACATGAATTGCCGGCTAACAGAGGATATCGGTTCCCCCCTTACGGATGCCCTGTAGCTACAGAACGGATGAACGTACTGTATATCTATCAGGATTATTTAATTTGTTATTGAACATGCTGATTTCATTGTTTTATTATTTCATTTATATTATTTCATTTCATATTATTTTCGGTGTGTCAAATAGAAATATTTTACTTTAAACTCTGTTTCAAGATTTGCACTGTCTTTATTTAATCTGATCCAAGGATCAAGACTAGAACTAATTTCAAGCAAAAACAGATTCAGCTGTTGGAAATGTTGCTACAAAACTTAACAAACAAATTATTCATATATCATATTATACTTTGTCATCTACTTTTAAACAAAATCTTCTGGGGATTCCCAATTTCTTGCAAACTCTTGCATGTGTAATAAATATCAACATTAGTCTATATTGTGTTAGATCTATTTTTAAGCGTGAATATATATGGGCATACACAAGCACAGAAAAGTTACCTTATTTTTTGATCAGCTTCATTTTTAACCTTATTCGCATATGCCGTTTGTTGGGCAACTTCTTGGTTTAGAACCTGAACACCGCCTTCCAATGTATCGATGTTGCTTTGCAAATCGTCTAGTGCAGATGCTTTACTTTCCAATTCGTTCTTCAACGAATCTATTGTTTTCAACAGTTCTACTTCTCTAGAGCCGTGTGAATTTTGTTGGGTATAGAACTGCTCTTCTAAAGCTTGGCATTTAGCAGCGTATTCTTTTTCTATCAACTGTGCCGCTTCTTCTTTTTGATGAACTAGATTTTGCCATTGAGAATCTGAAGTAGTAAATTTGTTATATATATCTTATATTATTATCCATAAACTGCAATTTATAAATGAAGTACCTAATTCAAGCCTGTGTTGCTGAATTAACATTTCGATCTTTTGTGAATTTTCCTTTTCCATTTGTTGTTTTACTTCTTCAAGGTTAGCAGAAACATCACCTACTTTATTTCTCCATGATTCTTCTAATAGTCTTATTTGTTTTTCATGTTCATAATTTAATTGTTCTGTAAATATAATACATTTCAGACAGAAAAAAGTGGCTACTAGAATTTTAAGTAAATATATTAGTTATTTTAGAAATCTAAAAGTTCATACATGTCTCGTATATTTTATGAAAAGTTTATCTCGTGTGTTTATGAAAAGAAACATACTAGTGTAAAATAACTATACAATATATTATAGAGGGTGGCCCATCGAAAACGTTCCGCAAGGTATAACGGCTAGGGTATTCTTTTTTTCAAAAAATCCAAAAACACGTCAATTTTGTTTGCGAGGGGGACAACTTTTGTCCCAAAAACGATTGCAAAATCTTCAACCCTCTGAGCGGGGGTGTCATTCCCCAACTTTTTTCAAATGGGAAGGGGGGTCAAGGGCGCCGCAATGAAAAGAGCTTTCTATTCTCTATATTGCCCCGCCTCGTTTTTGAAAATCGGTCGAGTCATACAGAAAATATGAAGGATTGAAATTTAAAAAGTTTATTTAAACATTTATCAGAGTTAATGAAAGGATAAATTCCTTCGACCAATTTGAGTTTTTTTCTTATTTCTAGATGTTTACGCATTTTTTCACTTGCCACAAGGTTGAATGATCAGGTGCGGTAGTTGCTAGATAGCTGTTCTGTGACTTTGAACTGTGATAACTGTGCGTTGAAGTTCTTCTCAATATCGTTAAACTGACCTACAATAGAATTTCCAAAAATACCAGTCAGTTCAATTTCTGAGGGTTTTGTGTATGCACCTCGTGAAAAACCCTGGGGTTGTCCTCAGCCCAGTACCGGCAGTTGTGCCGATTAACTACATCGTTCAAAAAGAAAGTACGCTCGTCCGAAAAACACAATTAAATAGAAAATTACTCGTATTATCATTCGCCACTCGTTCACTCATAATTTCACAAAATTGCAAGCGACGATCAAAATTGTCTTCCTTTGGTACGGGTGGAACTTGCTTTTTTTTAATATCCTTTGGACACTTGTACGATTCTCGCCGGTCTCATTGGCTAATTTTCTTGTACTCAGCGTACTATCCATGGCAACTTGGCCCAATACGAATACCTCCATAGCTTCATTTACTACAGGATTTTCCCTCCGCCTCTTTTTATTCATAACGGAACCAGTTTCGCGAAATTTTGCTACTAACTCGCGAACAATTTTGCCATAAAGGTGTTTGTCAGGATGGCGTTCATTGAATTTCTGCGCAACCCGATTGCCACATTCATTATTTTTAAAATAAAGTTCGATAATAATAATTGTTCCATAATAATTGTTAAAAAGTTTGACGATATTGAGAAGAACTTCAACGCATAATTCACAGAACAGCTATCTAGCAACTACCGCACCTGATCGTTCAACATTGTGGCAAGTGAAAAAATGCGTAAACATCTAGAAATAATAAGAAAAAACAGCAAATTGGTCGAAGGAATTTACCCTTATCATTTACTCTGATAAATGTTTAAATAAACTTTTCAAATTTCAATCCTTCATATTTTCTCAATGACTCGACCGATTTTTAAAAACGAAGCCGGACAGTATAGAGAATAGAAAGCCCTTTTCATTGCGGTACGACTTAAACCCCCTTTCCATTTGAAAAAAGTTGGGGGATGACACCCCCGCTCAGAGGGTTGAAGAATTTGCAATTGTTTTTGGGGCAAAAGTTGTCCCCCTCACAAACAAAATTGACGTGTTAAAAATACCGTAGCCGTTATGCCTTGCGAAAGATTTTCGATGGGCCACCCTGTATATTCCATTATATACATGAAAAATGTCGGTTTCTAATATTTGATTTAGTTGCTCATTATACTACACTAAACTTAACAATAGCCGGGCTCACACGAGAGGTATTTTTGGCAGATTTGCTCTCTAATTGATGAATACTTCTATTTACCCACACGTTAGTGCTCTAAAACGGTAGAGGCCGCTTAAACGTTAATCCTGTGAGATTTTTGTACCGACGCGACAGCGCGGCCACGTGATAAATAGTTCTAAATATCTGCCTTTTAATGTGCGCTGTGGGGTGAGATCCTTTGCCTAGGTGTTTTTCATATTTTCATTAATTACATGTTATTAAAAATGAAGTGGACAAAAGAAATTTTGATTGAATTACATGAAATGTATCGACAAAAACCTTGTTTATTGAAAATACGAGATAAAAGTTACTTAAAGAAAAACGTAAAGATGCAAGCTTCTTTCAAGAGCTTGTCAACCTTTTAACAAGAATTTGAAGCTCTAACTCGCCGATAATTTTTAAAATTTCTCATCATTCTGCAAGTTCACGAAATAAGATCATGTGCCAATATTTTTGTCTTTCTTGGACCCATTTTTTATTCACTTGGATCGACACATTTTGGATCGATACATTTTTTTCACAATTTTCAGCATACACAAACCCAATAATGCCACTTTTTCTTCCTTCTCCAACACGGATCTTTTACCGAAAATCTCAGATTTTATACAAGAGTGTAAAATATCTAATCCGCAATCCCTTCAAAATTTGACAGAATTTGCAACTAACTAACGAACTTTTTTAACTAACTAAGAGATTTGATATTTACGTTAGTGGGCAATGAAAGATCTATCCCCCCGCAGACCAGATCGGCGGGATTGGAATAACAATCGAGCAACGACGGGACAGATCATTTAAGAATACCTCTCGTGTGTGCCCACCTAATAAATTAGCCGTTTGTAACCTAAACCCTAACTGTTATCTAATACAAACCTATATCCATCTCATGTTGATCAACAAGTTTGTCATAGTTATCGTGATGGGTCATGTCAATTTTGTCCATTAACCTACGTAACTCCATTATATCTCTATCCGTCTTCGATCTAACACTGATAAGTTCATCGTGATAGTACTCATCTTTTTCATCGAGTGCCTTTTTCAAATATTGAATCTGTAATTTGCAAAAGTAACAATTATTATCTGTGATTGGTTCTTTGTGAAACATTGTTGAAATATTGTTACTTTAATAAAACAGTCTTTTAAATATTTCAAGTTTAATGAAAGTAGTTTTATCTCTACATAATATGTTTCGGCTTATTAGGTTTTTTTCAAGAGTTTATTAAAACCTTCAAGATGGTAAAACTAAAAAGAACAAGATTCTTAAAATTTTTAAGAAACTTGTTAGGTTTAAGGTGTAGAAAAGTTAGAACGAAGCGTACAGCAAAGCAAAACCTGTGCAAAATGCAAAAACTGGCAACAGAAGCCATGAGAACCTGAAAAACAGCAATAATGGAGTTCTTCTTTCTAGACTTAACACGTCTTCACATTTTCATCGCCAATGCGACAATGATTATAATGGTCAATGATGGAAACAGTACTGAGATAAGTACTTGGAATACCACCAAAACAAAAATTTCACTCATCCAACTCCCAGTGGATGATAAACCAATTTACAACTTTGACAATCACCTTACCGTAGTATTGAGCAATAAAACGAAGTTGAAGAGAGAACCTTTTTCTCAGCATCAGGTAAAAAAGCCAGACTGGTTCTTCCAAAACAAAAGCAGGAACAGGAATAGGTATTTGGGCGGTAAACTAAATATTCCAAACCAGGTAAACTAACTAACTAAATATTCCCAGCTGGGGTTACCAACCCCAGCATCCTTCAGGCAGAAATCTACACTATTGAAAGATACATACAACTTATCTCAGATAGGAACTATCGGAAACAAGAAATAGGCGTCTTATCCGATAATCAACATAACAAGCCGAAACATATGTGGAGCATATATCTTCTCATAAATTGGAGCTAACAAATACCATAGATAAATGAAACAAGTTTAGATTGGAAAGTGTCCATAAGGATAATGTAAATATATATTTGGCGCTATTCTTGCAACGGTCGCGACCCAAAGCTTTTGATAATTTCGGAGCGGTTCGGCTTTTTCCGGAATTATGTCGCCAAATATATTATTTATTCAAACTTATTATTTTCTTTTAATGTTATAAATAAAACACAGTGTGTTGCATATAAGAAACTTTATTTTATATAAGGACATGTATGAGATACCTATGGAACATTGGAAACCGACGTTATGCCACAATAGTTTTTGCAGTTCACACAGCTTAGGTTTTTTTAATGCCACTTTTTTACTATTATCAGGGGTTTGAGTAAATAAAATTTAAATTAAACTTACAAGATAGCAATAATAACTTTGAAATTAGACGCTTTAAACACTTTTCGGTATTTTTTCAATGCGCGCGGTTTACATTTTGAAGTATTTTATAATTTAATTATTATAAGATTCTGACTTTGACAAAAGAAAATTCTTTCTGTTCTTGTTTGCGGTTGTTCTTATCAAAGTGTATAGCAGCGCTAGATCCCGTACAACGTATGCGACCCAAAACAATTATACGTTTTAGCGGGAAGCCGAGCATTCCAATCTAAATTTATTTCCTTTATCTATGACAAATACTAACCTCTTTTAAACAATCTCTAAGCTTTTGTTCCCATTCATTTTGCCTCTTCTTGTATTCCTCTTCCTTTTCTTTTCGTACTGCCTCCATAGCGTTGTACTTTTCTTCGTCATGGATTTGCTCCAATTCATCTTTTAATCTGCCACATTCGTGTAACAATTTTTCCTCCCAGTACATAGCGATTTCAGTTCGTTTTTGATTTAGCGTTTCTTTTAATTTTCTTTCCTTATCTAAGATCTCTTGCCTATGTATTCTTTGCATATGCTGCAAATTTTCTTTTTCTAATTCTAAAAAATAAATAGTTTAGAACATACAAACCATCAATGTAAAAAGCCGTAAATTAAATGACTGATAAATTAAATGAAACTATGTCAGAATTTCACGTATTTTTGTCAATTAAATATAATTAAAATACTTAGTTAAGGTTTCTACCTATGAGATTAAGCAGTCTTTTAGTTTCATGTTTTAAGCTAGCTTCAGCCTCTACCATTTGAGCCTGTTGGTCCCTCATTTGTTGAAGCGTTCTTTCTTGTTCAGTTGTTCTACCTCTCAATTGCTGAACTTCTATTTCATACGATTTCAAAATTTCCACCTCAACAAAATATTGTTAAAAATATTAAAGGGCAGATAATTTAAAAAACAAAATTTTGCTTTATTTACCTGTTCTAACATACTTTCAGCTTCAGACATTTTCTTCTGTGCATCTTTTGTATGCCTCTTGAAGTTTTTCTTCGATAGTTTTATCTTTATCGTCCAATTTCTTTTTGCAAACTTGTTGAACTTCTCTCAATTTCCATTCAAAGTCGTCAAGTAATTCCTGTTCCTTTAATATGTTTACTGTGCGCAACTTTTCGAAATCTTCTTTCCATTTCCTTTCGATTTCTTCTTTTTGTTTAGATGTTGCATCTAATGTTTCCGCTAGTTTCTTCCTCTCTTCGTCTCTTTGCGTTTGCAACTCGGCGTGTTTAACTTGTAATTGATCTTTTTCTGTCTGCAGTTCATGAATTTGATTTTCTAAAGTTTCTATTCTTATTCTCAGGTTTTTAATTACTCCTTCTAATTCGTTTATCTTTGACTGTGTCTCTAATTCATAATTGCTATACGCATCTGTAACATTATTGGCATGATCATTTTAATACACTCACCGGCACGAAAAACGGACACCTTAAAAGTTTGATGTATTTTAAGGTTTAATATATTTTGTTTTAGTGGGCCGATTTTGATGACTTTTTAAGCAATTTGTAGCTAAATTATTTGGGTTTTTAGTTTCTCTTTCTAAATTATAAATGAAAGTTGCCATCTGTCAATTATACGAGGGGAAACAATATGTTGATATTTTGGTGAAAGTTTGCAATACCCTGTGGAGTACGTTAACAAAGCAATAGTTTGTTTTTTGATTCATTTCAATAGCTTTATTTTATTTGGAGATCGCTTTTGAAGAAAACACTAATATTTTTTACATTAAAACAATGCCCTTGTTTTTGGTTCTAGTCACCAAACCTATAAAATAGTGTTTATGGTTTATGTAATGTCACTGTCTTTGAAAAATCATATTATATTATTGTCTGTTAGGCAGTTACTCTAGCAGATATGGTTTTAAGTCCAAAAGTAGATCTCTGCCATGATCAATTAAAGCAGCAATAGCCGATACTTCAGAGCCTGAAACTATCTCTACTAGAGTAAACGTCAATAAACAATAATAATATGACTTTTCAATGACAGTGACATTACAAAAACAAGTGATGAGGATCCAAAAGCAATGCTAAAATTGCTGTAAATCGTTACTCTCTTATTCAAAAGCGAATATGTCCAATAAAAATAAAGCTCTTGCGATGAATAAAAAAAACAAGTTCTCGATAAAAGACGTACCTAGATGATAAAATTCTTGCTTTATTAATATATTCCACAGGGTGTTGCAAACTTTCACCAAAATATCGACATTTTGTTTTCTCTCGAATAATGACAGATGGAAATTTTCATTTTTAATTTAGAAAGAGATACTAAAAAGGCAAATAATTTAGCTACAAATTGCTTAAAAAATCATCCAAATCGGCCCACTTAGCTACAAAATATATTAAATTAAAATACATCAAAATTTTAAAGTGCCCGTTTTTCGTACCGGTGAGTGTAGTTTTAAACAAAGATTTGTTTTTGTTTTTGAGGAACAATTTTTCAATATTTGACCTAATCTAATATACATATTTTTTACCTTTTTGTTGTTGTATTTCCTCCGCAAGATCAGCGTTTCTTCTTCTATAATTTTCTAATTCAGTTTCTAAATGATGTATTTTTTGGCGAATTAAATCTGCTTCTTTTGTTGCCGCATTAACTTCAGCCTGCAATCCTAAAATATTTTTTTGAACAATTTATATGTATTTGATAATTATAGTATGAATATACATGGCATTATTAATGCTATACAGTAATAAAATAAAATACATTGTCAATAATTTTAACAAAAAATACAAATTAAACTATACAAACAAACTTTAACTTATTCCAAAATATACAGGGTGAGTTTCCTACGATGTTCTCTATGGGTATCTCGGAAACTACTGGAGATAGAGAGTCGGTTAAATGGGGAAAGAATTGCAGTTTTGTGGGGTCATAAATATGCGCCTTTCAGATTTTTGAAAAAGTTCATGGCTTACTAGATATTTTGAAAAAACAAATTTCGGCTATTTTAAAAATTGTCCCTAATTCCATTATAAGCTATTTTAGACAAAAAGTTTTCAGATAAAAGTTGTAGATAATCACATTATTAATGAAACTGTGTCCTCCGCTTTTTTCTAAAGCCTGTCATTTTTGACATATGACACAAACAAACGGTTTTTTTAAATGGAAACCATAGTTGGCCATGGCTTCATAAAAAGCGCCATTTTTTAAGCTTTTCAGCGATATAAGCTATAATATGTTTTCTTGGAAAAATTACCGAGTTAAGGCCAATTCTTATCATTTTTAAACAATTTTACTTAGTTAGCCATGGAAACAAGTTCAATCGCCGTTGCTCTCAGAAATGTGAAGCTATCACATCCAAACTTTGCAAATTAAAATAAATAAAAATTGTAAATATGAATTTTTCAAATAAAGAAAAGCGTGTAGGATTATTGGTTCAACTTTTCTTGACCATACATTTTCGAGGATACGTTGACCGGTGAATGTTACGTCTTTTAGAGAACGGTTTTCAAGATATGTTAGAAAAGTTAAATTTAGTTATAGTCAATTCTTATCTGTCTTGATTAATTAGACTTAGTATTCTTATTTTGTTCACATGATATTTTTCTTTTGTTGACATGGTATTCTTATTTTGTTATGATTTATAATTTATAAAAAGTCAGAATATATTACTAAACGGTTCTTTACAATTTACATTACACAAACTAAAACTTAAAAAATTAATATCACTACATACACTTTAACTTATTCTAAAAAAAACCAATAAATCCGCCATTGTTTTGAGTTGCTGTTTTTAAAACTGAATTACTACCTATTCTCACAGAAGGACCGGTCGACTTAATTAAACTTTTCTCGTACCGCCACTTCGAGTGTCTCTCTTAATTCATAAGTTCTTTTGTAAACCTTATTGTTAACTATACCGCATAAAAAAATCTAAAATGGATAGGTCAGGTGATCGAGAAAGCCCATGCAATTAGTCCACCTCTTCCTATCCCTGCGTTTGTATTATTATTGTTAAGGTCAAGGTGTATTACTGGTTGCATAACTGGCGAATTCGCCAGAAAGTAAAAGAAAATTACAGAATTCTTTAGAAAATTCCAGAAACCATCGCCAGGGGGTATATAAGGCCCGCGCTTTGACAGTTGGACCAGTCTGAAGATAGTCTGAAATCTGAAGTTTGATAATACCGCGAAATACCGTTAAAGTAATAGTAGCTGCATAAATTGTGTTGTAAATAGTATAAGTTGTGTGTACAGAGTGAGACAAATAAATTCGTTAAGTATTTTATCGTGAGTTTAAATAGTGGACCCACGGAATCCGTAACAATTGGTGTCGGAAGTGCGATTTAAGTGGATTTTGAAGATTTTACACCGGATTGGAGAATTTTATGGTTGGAACGAGAGAACAAGCGAAGAAAATGGAGGAAGTAAGCAAATTATTGGGCGATTTTATGGAGAATATGAGAAGAGGGAAAGCAGAAGAAAAAGAAGTAGAAAAATTACGCCGTCAAGAAGAACAGGACCGGCTTGACAAAATTTTTGAAGATTTGAAAATTCAACGACAACTAGAAAAACAAGAAGAACAAGAAAGACTACGTAAAGATAAGGAAGAGGAAAAATTACAACGACAACAAGAAAAACAAGAAGAACAGGACCGGCTTGAGAAAAATTTAGGCAATTTAGAAATCCGTCAGAAGAATGAATGGATGGAAATTTTAGAAGATATAGAGACCGCCAGAAAGAAAGACAAGAAGATCAAAACCGTCTTAAGAAGAACTTTGAAGAACTAGAAAGAAGGCAAGAAATCCACCTTCAAGAAGCCGTAGAAGATCTGGAGGAACGCCTTCAGCAGAAAATGGAAGAATTAGAGATGGACCTAACCAAGACCAAGGTACAAGTAAGGACACCTGCCGTTCCTGGAACTGCGAACCTTAAGGCCCCGACCTACGATGGACAAACGACCTGGACGATGTACCACCGCCAGTTTGAAGCAGCCGCCGCTGCCAACGGATGGACCGACCAGGAGAAAGCAGCGGCATTGTCATCGCGCTGCGTGGCCCTGCTCTGGAACTGCTGCAAACTATTCCTGCAGCCCAACAGCAGGAATACCAAACTTTGGTAGCTGCACTGGACAGAAGATATGGCGACCAACATCGACGTCAACTTTACCAGGCCCAGATCAAGACACGCCTGCAGAGGTCCGGAGAGAGTCTGCAGGAATTCGAAGCAGACTTACGTCGGGTGGTACACCTGGCATATCCAGAAGCACCGGAAGGATTTAGGGAGGAACTCGCTGCTCAGTGCTTTATCAGCGGACTAAGGGACAACGAATTGCAGAGGGCGCTGCAAATATCCCGATTTTCTACCAGCAGCGAAGCACTGGTCAGGGCGCTGGAAATCGAAGCTGCTTTTAGCGCCATCACTAGACCGAAGATAAGATCTGTAACGGTCGAGGAACAGCCCGGAAGTTCTCACAGAGGTTTGGAGGAGATGTGTAAGAAAGTCGACAAACTATGTGAGCTACTAATAAACAAAGGAGTCAACAACACCCAGACAGAGAACCAGAGAAGATTCCAGGACATAAGGTGCTATAGATGTGGCAGGAATGGCCACATCAAACGGGATTGCCGCGTCCAAATCTATCCTGTTCACCATCCAGAGAACGTGTAGGTACCAGGAAAACTAAAATCAGTCAATACTAAGGGGCGAGTACTGACTGGGAGAACAGAGTCCCAGTGATTTTTTTCCATTAGGGAGTCTGGGAAGAACCATGACAGTTTAGTGATCGACAGGAAGGTCAATGGTAGGAGAATCCGAATGACAGTGGACACTGGCGCTATGGTATCGTTGGTGCGAGCTAACTCAGTGCAAGGGTTGAAGCTGATGCCTCTGGGAAGAAGAGTGTGTTTACGTACAGTTAAGGTTGAAATGGCCGTTGTACGGGGAGAGGCTATCGTCGAACTGAAGTTAGGAAATTTGAAGTTCCAGCATAGCGTTTTAGTGGCAGATATTGAAGATGACTTTATCTTGGGCATGGATGTGATTCGTCAACATGGATTTTCGTTCGATCACCAGAGAAATATCTTAAATATTGGAAATGAAGGGTTCATGTTATCTCCAGACGAGGGACCAGGAATAATGGATGTAAGATCAGCGGAAACTGTGGTGATACCTGGTAATACCGAGAAGATCGTATTCGGTAAAGTGGAGAAAATCGCGGGGTGCTGTGTTGGGCTGGTACAAAGTGGCGACAAGAAACAAGATAGGTACTTGGTAGGAAAGTCATTGGTGAACACGGACAAGAATATACCGATCAGAATTGCGAATGTTTTCCCGAATTGTGTCAAGATTCAAAAAGGTGACAAGATAGCCATCTGCGAACCTGTAAGAAGTGTTACCCGATGTGATGAAGTGTCGTCAGCTGTTACACAAATGGCATCCAAAGAAACACTAATACGTCTAGAACAGCCATGGGATCACCTAACATCTGAGGAGAAACAGAAGGCTAAGCAGTTCCTGCGAAAGCATGGCAGTATTTTGAGAGGAAGAACAAGAGTGGAAGAACGGATTTTGTGAAGCACCGGATTAATACTGGTCATGCTCATCCGATTCGACAACGTCCTAGAAGGGTGCCCTTTCAAACAACAAGAAATGGAGACAATGGTAGATAAGATGCTAGAAGATGGAGTTATCGATGAATCATCAAGTCCATGGTCATCTCCTGTTGTTTTGGTGACGAAGAAAGATGGTAGTACACGATTCTGCGTGGACTATCGGAAGCTCAATGACGTCACTAAGAAGGACAGCTACCCACTGCCACGTATAGACGACACGTTAACCACACTGGCAGGTTCGTGCTGGTTCTCCACTCTCGACTTAAAGAGTGGATACTGGCAAGTTGGCCTGGACGAGGAAGACAAAGAAAAGACGGCTTTTTCTACAGGAAATGGACTATACCAATTCATGGTCCTGCCGCTTGGATTATGCAATGCTCCAGCCACTTTCGAACGTCTCATGGAGGTGGTGTTAAGAGGATTAACTTGGAAAACGTGCTTGGTTTACCTCGACGATGTATTGGTTATGGGAAGAACTTTTGAGAAGCATTTGCGAAATTTAGAAGAAGTCTTCAGCCGCATACGAAATGCTCACCTGTACTTGAAGAAGAGTAGCTTATTCCAGCGACAAGTGGAATTCTTGGGTCATGTAGTCTCGGCAGACGGAATTTACACCGACCAGAAGAAAATCGCTGCAATCAAGGATTGGCCTAAACCTCGCGACAAGCATGAACTTAGAAGTTTTCCAACATAGCTGCACCTTTACATAAACTTACAGGTGATAAAGTCGGCTACGAATGGAACACCGATTGTGATGTAGCCTTTGGAAGACTTAAGACGGCTTTATGTTCAAGTCCTATTTTAGCAATTGTAAAGGCAGTTGATCATTTCCATAAATATCTGTATGGCCAAGAATTTTTAATTAGGACAGATCATGCGGCTCTCAGGTGGCTTATGGAGATGAAACAACCTGAAGGTCAAGTAGCACGATGGCTCGAGAAGCCCCTGCAGTATCACTTTATCATCCAACATCGTGCTGGAAAGATGCATGGTAACGCAGACGGTTTATCCAGAAGACCCTGTCAAACCGATTGTAAGCACTGCTGTAAAACGGAACAACGTGAAGGCACTGTTATGATAAGGAGTTTTAAACTTGGAGCTGATGAACAGTGGACGGCGACACAGTTGAGGAAAGACCAAATGGAAGATCCAGATATCGGAGCAATACTACGGCTCAAGGAAGGTAACAGCGAGAGACCACCGTGGCAGGATATTGCGGACAGAGGGCTAGTTTTCAAAGCTCTCTGGGCTCAGTGGAATTCACTGGTTATTGAGAATGGATTGTTAAAGCGCACGTGGGAAAGTGCGGATGGCAGGACAGTAACAACTCAGTTACTGGTACCAAGGAAGAAAGTTACCCAGGTATTGGAAGAAATTCACGGTGGTAAAACTGGAGCCCATCTTGGGGTAAACAAGACCTTGAGCAAGCTGAGAGATCGTTTTTCTGGATGGATTATTGCGAAGATGTCAAGAAATGGTGTCGACAATGTAAAATTTGTGCAGCCAGCCAAGGACCAAGCACTCGATCTAGGGGAAAAATTAAACAATATAACGTTGGACTGCCATTCGAAAGAATCGCTGTTGATATTGCAGGCCCATTCCCTGAAACGCACAAGGGCAACAAGTACGTTTTAGTGGCGATGGATTATTTCAGTAAATGGCCAGAAGTTTTTGCCATTCCAAACCAAGAAGCATCGACTGTAGCTGAAGTATTAGTCAATAATGTCTTAGTAGATTTGGAATTCCCTTAGAGCTTCACACTGACCAAGGAAGGAACTTCAAGTCAAGACTGTTCCAGAAGATGTGTGATCTGCTTGGTATTCACAAGACTAGGACAACAGCTTTACATCCGCAGTCTGATGGGATGGTCGAAAGATTCAATAAGACCATTGAACACCTCCCGAAAATGGTGGACGAACATCAAAGAGATTGGGATCAGCACATACCGCTATTCCTAATGGCTTATAGAAGTGCAGTTCACACCACCGGACTTTCACCATCGAAGATTTTGTTTGGTCGAGAATTACGGTTGTCTTGTGACTTGGTGTTCGGATCACCAGACGACGGCACCACAAACGTAGAGGACTACGCGGATGAACTGAAGGAAAGGTTATTGGAAATTCATCAGACCGTTAGAAGTAAGATTGCGCTAGCCAGTGACCGGATGAAAGCTCTTTACGACCTCAGAGCTAATTCTACGGGATTTCAACAGGACGATAGGGTATGGTTGTATAACCCACAGCGCAAGAAAGGAAGGTCCCCTAAGTTAACTCCAGCAAGGGAAGGTCTTTATACAGTCATCAAGAGGATAAATGATGTTTTGTACCGGATTCAACGCAGCCCTAGAAGTAAGATGAAAGTAGTTCATCTGGATCGATTGAAGAGATACCAGACAGGAAACCTTGATCGGGACGATCAAATTTGAGAAGGGGGCAATGTTAAGGTCAAGGTGTATTACTGGTTGCATAACTGGCGAATTCGCCAGAAAGTAAAAGAAAATTACAGAATTCTTTAGAAAATTCCAGAAACCATCGCCAGAGGGTATATAAGGCCCGCGCTTTGACAGTTGGACCAGTCTGAAGATAGTCTGAAATCTGAAGTTTGATAATACCGCGAAATACCGTTAAAGTAATAGTTGTTGCATAAATTGTGTTGTAAATAGTATAAGTTGTGTGTACAGAGTGAGACAAATAAATTCGTTAAGTATTTTATCGTGAGTTTAAATAGTGGACCCACGGAATCTGTAACATTATGATATAAATAATTTTTAACATTTCTTTCATTATGGGGGTGGGGGTGGTGTGTCATAATAAAAGTCATGTTGGAACCACTCTATTGATGCGCGAGTATCTACACGCTTTTCTTCATTTTAAAAATTTATATTTACAATTTTTGTTTATAGTTTACAAAGTTTGGATTTGACAGCTTCACATTTCTGAGAGCAACGGCGATTGAACTTGTTTCCATGGCTACCTAAGTAAAATTGTTTAAAATGATAAGAATTGGCTATAACTCAGTAATTTTTCGAAGAAAAGATATTATAGCGTATATTACTAAAAAGCTTAAAAAATGGCGCTTTTTATGAAGTCATGGCCAACAATGGTTTCCATTTAAAAACATGGTTTCCATTTAAAAAAAACCTATGTTTGTGTCATTTGTCAAAAATGACAGGCTTTAGAAAAAAACGGAGGACACAACTTTTATCTGAAAACTTTTTGTCTAAAATAGCTTATAATGGAATTAGGGACAATTTTTAAAATAACCGAAATTTGTTTTTTTCGAAATATCTAGTAAGCCATAAACTTTTTCAAAAATCTGAAAGGCGCATATTTATGACCCCACAAAACTGCAATTCCTTCCCCATTTAACCGACTCTCTATCTCCAGTAGTTTCCGAGATACCCATAGAGAACATCGTAGGAAACTCACCCTGTATATAGGTAATTTTTATATATAGCTGAGTTAATTTTGCCCATTTTTTATTTTTAAAATAAAATATTAAAATATACATACTGTCCATTCCAGCTGATTTAGCAAAAACATCCCTCTGGAGTTCTTCCATTTGGAAACGCAACTTGGTAGCTTCAGCATCGCGTATTGATAATTGTTTCGAAAGATCATTCAACTGGCTCTGGAACTTAGCTTCTTGGTTTATAAGATTCTTCCCTATATGACAAAAAAGAAAATAATATTTAGATTGACAATTTTGAGTGCTTTTTGCGATTAAATGCAAATACATGCATCTATTTGTGGAGCATGACAGAGAAAGTTATCAGCGTACACAAATATCATATCGATAATATTGTAATACTAAAGTTATCACATCCATCTGTTATTGCTAATGTGTATTGTAAATCAGTGATTATGTTCCAATTAGTTATTTAATTACTGTCTTCTGTCTTGAAAATTTTAAAACGTTTCAAAAGCAATCTTGGTTTGTGCACACGTGTATGAAGATAGCATACAAATATATTGCTAAAGAATCACTATTGATTACTCAAGAGACAAGAGCAGATTTTCAACGAATAGGACTGACTTGGGCCGCCTATGGACGATTGAAATATATTTTCAAAGTGGCACTTCCGATATGTTTGAAGAGAAAAAGGATTCAATCAATGCGTACTACCTGTTCTAACGTATGGTGCGGAGACGCTAACATTAACCAAGAAAACTGTAAGCAAAATCAGAACAACGCAAAAAGCAATGGAAAGATCAATGTTGGGGCTATCTCTGAGAGACAAAGTACCGAATATCGAAGTACGGTGGGGGGACAGAACAAAAGTCATGGATGCCATATAGAAAATAACCACTTTGAAATGGAATTGGGCCGGGCACATTGCAAGGCTAAACGATGACCGATGGACGAAGAAAATTATAGAATGGAGCCCAGACACGATGCATTCAGGAGCAGAGACCGCCCTCCAACCAGATGGCATGACGACTTAAAGCGTATCCTTTACTACAGTAATATAATATAGTACCGTATGATCGAATAAAAACGGCGTCAGCGATGGCTATGAAATGAACATCGCTGTCATTTTATATGTAAAATTATATGTTCGTCATTTCCAAGCCAACTGGACGCCGTTTTTTGTCGATCATACGGTATTAGTATACATATTGGTATAATAATATAATATAATAATGCTGTTCATGAACATGCCTCATGTATTTGTTTACGGCTGTGACATCATGACGTTAAATAATAATAACTTAACTACAAAGAAGGTAGAACATCTGAGTTGGTAACTCGACTTTTCACTCACACTTATAAAAGGCTCCTTAATGAGAGATAAAGAGAAGATACTAACCTAATATTAAAAATATATATGTATCTAACTCGATCCTACAAGAGAAAGACTTAAACTCTAACTTCATTGTCTTAATATTAGTACCAAACATCCTGCACTTAAAATTAGAGCAGAGACACAAAATCATATCACAAGAATAATAAAATTACAAGTATGTTGTACTATTCAACTAAAATATATTATTAAAACTCTGTATTTTAAATAAATCCTAAACTCTGCATTTCTTCTATAAATAAGTTCTACTTATGGATTACAATACACACTTGTATGGAAGCTACCATTTAAAATATAAATTAATAGTCTAAAAATAGTCCTAATTTTATTGTCAAAATTTCAATGCCAATTCTTTGTAAAAAATAAGGTGAATAAACTAACTGTAAAAATAAACTTCTATATTCGACAAAATTTTTCGTTATTTTAAATATCTACTGATACTTGTATATTAAAAGACAAAATGGGCTTATTTTAGATAAGCACCATTTTCAATAATTATTATTTATTAGTGTTAGGAATGTCATTCGGAGGAGAATCATAAAGAGGAAGAAAATTACAAGTCGATATTATCGTTGTTTGGATTATACCTATAGATCAGCCAAGTTTAGCTATCTTTTTAATATTTACCTTAATTAAAATAGTTTAATTAAAATAATTAAAATGAAAAGCCTTTTAGCAAACTACTTAGATATACAGGGTCCGGCAATAATGCGTCGGGCATCTGTAGCTCCTAGAATAAAAAACTTGAGAATTTTGTTTAAGTGCAAACCTAAAGTATGTACCAGGATTTATTTTAGGAAAATATTTTAACTTTTATAGGGTGGCTCAAAAAAGTGTGAGTGGACCTGGATGATTTTTTTTAAATGGAACACCCTGTATATTATTGCATTTTTGGCTTTCTTTCAGATCACTTTACATAACCCTAAGATATGAATAAATAAATTTCGATAGTTTCAGAGATATTAAAAAATAAATCAAAGATATATTTTTTTCAGCCCTTCTTAAAAAAATTATTAAAAACAAGAACTGTTCTGAAATCAAGACTATTTTAGGTATTTATTTTAGATGGTCTGTACTTACTTTGTTATAAATAATGAAAATCAAATCATACAGGATGTTCAAAATTCTAGGGCCAAATAAGTTTCTTAAAATATAAAATAATTTTTCTTGTTTTTAATGGAACACCCTGTATATTATTTTTCAATAGATTTGAGAATTAAAAATGAACATTTTTTGTATTTAAAGTATTTCAAAATTTTAACGGTTTCGCAGATATTTGCGGTTTTATATTTCATATGGCATTTTCCACAGTAAATTTTTATCAAAGCACGCAATGATTTTTCTCGTATTTTACCATTGACAGCGCCATATGAAATAATACTGCGTGTATCTGCGAAACCGTTAAAATTTTGAAATACTCTAAATACAATAAATGTTCATTTTAACTCTCGATCTAATAAAAATAATATGCCGGGTGTTCCATTTTTAAACAAAGAAAAAATATTTTATTTTAGAAAGTTGGCGTAGAATATTGAACATCCTGTATGATTTACGATTACCATATTTATAGCGGGAAGTAAGAACAGACCATCTAAAGCAAATACCCTAATATACTTTTTGATTTCAAGGCAGTTCTTGATATATATTTTTGATTTATTTTTTAATATCTCTGAAACTATCGAAATATATTTATTCATATCTTAGGGTTATGTAAAGTGATCTAAAAGGAAGCCAAAAATGCAATAATATACAGGGTGTTCCATTTAAAAAAAATCATCCAGGTCCACTGACACTTTTTTGAGCCACCCTATAGAAGTTTACATATTTTCCTGAAATACATCCTGGTACATACTTTAGGTCTGCACTTAAACAAAATTCTCAAGTTTTCAATTCTAGGAGCTACAGATACCCGACGCACTATTGCCGGACCCTGTATGTAATATTACCCTGCAACATTATTTAATATCTTTTTATAGAAAAAAAAATATTTTTAGCACCAGAGTACTTTATTACATACCTGAGTGACAGATGAACTTGAGCTAAAATTAAGTCAAGCGAAAAAAATATGTTCCTGATTTTTTTAGTGCCAGAGTAATTACATACAACTTAACAAAGTGGATTTAATTGCTCGTTAAACGATATTTTATTATACTTACATAAAGGAGAAGCAATATTTTAGAGCTATATTTTAATGTAATAATATCCAATAAAAGCAAATGTTTTTAAAACAAATTATTTTAACAAATTCTTTTATTTAAATAAGTCTAGTGTAGAGGTATGTGAACTATGTATAACAGTATAATAAAATTATAGATTATATATTTACATTTACAAAAATATATATTTTTATGGAAAATGTTTCAACATTTGTAGAAAAGAATATGTAGACAAAAACAGCTTATGTTGAAAATGAAGTGCACGGACCCGTACAATCAAAAATTTTTCTCTAATATTCTATTGAAACAAGTAAGTTATATTACTAAAATATTATGTTTGCAATGTATTTTGAAAATTATATAATATAAAAAATAATAGTTTATTAAATAAACATAACTTATAAAAAGTAGTTATGTCATGTAATGAATGAAACATTCTTAAATTTGTAAAAGAAAAAATCTTTACGCGAAAAAAATACATGGTATATGCAAAATATCAAAAAGTATTTTAATCAACCAATTTTTAATTAAGACAACTGACAAAATTCTAATAAAATTTTCGATAAGAATTATTTATATTTGCCATCACCCGAAGAAACCAACTGTAGATACTAGTGACGTTAAAGTCAACTGATTCTAATATTGTCAGAGGTCTGGGGAGAAGCAAAAAGCTAGAGATCTAGTTCCTTGCAAGTAGTTTTGCCCGTCTAAGCGAGTATACTGAAGACATTATTTATTTTCATATAAATTCATATTTATTATTTTTTCACACGATAAAGCTTGATTTTCATGCATCCGTTGTACGACGATACGTTGATATGATATTAATTTTATTGGTAGAATTTAAAAACTTTGATCGGTTAGAAAATAACGCAGTTTAAAAATTTATTGCATTTTCATGCATCCTTTTATCTGATATACGTTGGTGTCATTTTATTTTTTTTTCCATAACGATTTTCCTATTTTACCTATATTTTTATTAAGGTTAGATTAAATCATCGTAAAATAAAACCCTGGATCACGGTTGGCATTATTAATTCGATTCGTAATAGAGACAAAATGAAAAAAGATCTACGTAGGGACTCTTCGGACGAAAAACAAGATGCATACAAGAAATATCGAAATTTGGTAACAAGAATAATTAGAGAAACTAAAAATCAATATTATAAAAATAAAATTAAAAAAGCTGACAAAAATATTAAATTAATCTG